CTTGTTTGGTGAAGTCTCACTTTTGTCTGTGCTGGAATTAGTATCCGCTCTTTGACAGGTACACTTCGCTCAACTCAGATAATGTAGATTGAAACTAAGTACTGACAATGGTTGGTCCTGAGTTATGATTCTCGATTCTGATTCATGTTTAAGAGATTATCGATATTATATTGCAACGAAGTATTGACAATAGTTGGTCCTGAGTCATTCTCGATTGTGATCCATGTTTGAGAGATTATCAATATGGTGCTAATTATGTAATATTTGATTCATCCATGTGTGTGGTGTTCTCTCTACTGCATTTTAATGGTTACGAAGAAGATGGAATGGGTTGAGTTATTTGGATCAAACTCAAAGTAGTGTAGTTTCACCACAATGAGCGAGTATCAATGAGGGAAACACAACCCTTGTAAAAAAGCAGTATGATGATGAGGATAACATGTTTGTGTAACCATGACAAATACAATGTTACACAGGCTGTAATAGCCTACATCACCTCACTGATCTACCCCTCCCACCTTGTCGAATTCTTGGGTCTACATAGTAAATTTTCATATTCCGACAAAACTTTGATGGCTATCAGAGCTCTCTAAAACACCTTTTTTCATAAAGTAACGAGTAAGAAATGCTTATAATATGCTATTAAACACATCTTGCTGGTCAGAATCTCAAAAAATTCACTTTGGACAACTCTGATACACTTTCTTTTTTTGGGTCGGTATTTCAAATATATTAACGATTCAAGTCAGTATGCACCATAACTTCTTTTTTTTAAAAATAAAAATTTAATTTTTATTTTATTTTCAATATACAAGAATTTTCTTAGTTGCTACTTTCTCACAGTATTTAATTTAGCAGCTAGTTTCCTCACTAAGCCTTTATCAGTATCTTAAAGTAGTCTTCATGCTTTCGCTTTAATAGTCCCTAATTGATACACTAGCATCTGCATTGCTTCTATAACCTATAATGGTGTTATTAAGATATTCTTCCATCTAGCTTCATTAATCATTTGTTGAATATAAAGTAGTATATTATACCTCCATTGCATTACTAAAATCCTCGATCCTTAGCTGAAACTGTTTTTGATAATGCTTCAGGGTAACTAGTAGTCAAGAGCTAACATCTGTAGCACAATTGACAATATTATAGTTTTTTTTATTATAGCTATAGCCTTGATCAATCTTGCCTACATCGCCTCTCCGAACAATGTCACACCCACTAATCTGACCTCAAAAACATGAGAGAATTTTGTAAGGAATTCAGTTGTATTTGTTACAGTTTGTTCATGTAAGTGATCATCAAGATCAGTTACAAAAATTGAGGTTATCAACATTTTCAGTTGTGGGTTCACAGTAATTGGTTGTAATAGGTCAAGCTTAAAAGGAATATAGTCAGCTACAGAAAACAGGGAGCAATAAAGTATAGAGCAACTGCATGTAAGTTCGATCCATGTTCGCCAATCATTACTAGACCTTGTAATGCATATTAGGATGTTGAATGGTAGTATAGGTGACTCCATATTGAGGTTCTAGAGGATTATGAGAGTATTTGCATAAAGGCTTAAGATACTTAACATCTATACTATATAGCAGGCTGTTCAATACTTTATTAATTTTTTTAATTTTGATTTATTTTATATATTTAGTTGTTAAGTTTTATTTTTAAAAGATAAATAATGATCAATATAATTAGGGGTGGTCAGATAAAATCTTTGATTTTTGATGACGTTGGTAGCTGGTCATTATGACGGTAGTCATAACCCTAGAATGATGGTAATCATTCTAAACATTTGCCTACAATTGCCTCATAAACAGTGTTTATAGTTAGCTGATGATCTGACAAATAAAATATATTTACTTTAGAGTTTAAATTAAACTTTATATTATTACCTATAATCAGATACCATAATGCAAAAAAAAATTTAGGGGAGTAATCCTAAGTATTAGATAAATCGTTTATATAATTAATTTTGTAATATCTGTAATTTAAAAAAATAGTATATCTTTTAAATGATAATTCTTGTAAAAGATAATAATTATAGAGAGAAATAAAAAAAAAGTTTTAACACTTTAATGTTTTTATGATTTAAATTAGAAAAAGAAGAGGTTCATAATGAACCTTTAGGTTTATTATGGAATAGGGGATAATAAAAGAAACGAAGGTTCTTTTATATTCAATGCGAGGAATACTTGGACGAAGCATTCTTGATTACAATATAAAGAGATGTAAAGATGGAACCTTTACCAGCGTCTCAATGTAGTCTTCATGCTTTCGGTTTAATGTTGCACCAATTGACACACTGGCATCCGCGTCGCTTCCGCACAGAGTGAGAGGCTCCGTGCTGTCGTCGCCAAGACATTCTTCCCCCTATCATTTCAGCTTCATTAGTCGTTTGTTGAATATAAAAGTAAAAGCAGTATATCATACCTCTATGACATTGCTAAAATCCTCCATCCTTAACCGAAACTGTTTTTGATAACGCTTCAGGGGCGACTAGTAGTCGAGAGCTGACATTCGTAGCACGAACGACAATATCATATTTTTTTTTTGTTATGGCTATAGCCTTGATCAATCTTGCCCGCGTCGCGTTTCCGAACAATGTCACACCCGCCAACCTGACCTCAGAAACACGAGAGAATTTCGTAAGGAATTCAGACAGATTTGTTGTAGTTTGTAAAGTATTCGTAAGATCAATTACAAGATTTGAGGTTGTCAACATTGGCAGTTGTGGGTTCACAGTGTTTGGTTGTGCCAGGTCAAGCTTAAAAGGAACATGGGCAACTGCGTGTAAAAGTCGATCCGTGTTCGCCAATCATTGCCAGACCTTGCAATGCGTATTAGGTTGTCGAACGGTAGCACAGGTGACTCCATGTTGAGGTTTTAAAGGATCATGAGAGTGGTTGAGTAAAGGCTAAAGAGACTTGACGTCCGTACTATGTGGTGACGTGTAGTGCCGTAAAATTGCTTTGACACCTTCAATGTTGAATTGATATTCAGTCATGCATGTGACACGCTCATTTCCTTAATTTTACCACACTTTTTTAATGTCACCCTTATCCTTTACTATTTGTTTTACTCACATATCTATCAGTTTGACCGGTTTGTAAAGCTGGTGAGTATATTATAACAATATCAACTCCTCAGAATCTTTGATATATGAATTAAAGGTCATTTTCTGTTAATCAAATTTATTTCTGGGTCAGTGGGTGAAACGGAAGACTAATCACACACTTTCACTTCCTCGCTGAAAGTAAGCAACTAGCATGACTTGAACTGTTTCCATTTAAGCATAAAGATTTTTAACGAGTCAAATAAGAGGCGTTTACTCATGGTTGGTTTGATCTTGCAGACTGACAGTCTGATCGACGGTATCAGGTTGAGATGGGTCTATGTGGAACGGCAGAAAGGCGACTCGCGGCTGTCAAAATCTGACGGTCGGCATTGACCACAGCCCATCAAGATCCCGATCCCACGTTGCACGTGCAATTCCCCTTTATTCTCTACGTTGACAAAAGCGTGGCGGCCATCTCATTCTCGGGATTGGATAGAATATCATCTGCTCGTAGTATCTAGCGGTTGGTCTTTGGTATGTAAGCCTTCACTTGGATTTTTTCATTTCGTCCTTGACTTTTTTCTTGCAGCTGTAAATAGATATGTAGTGCTCAACGGTTTGAGCAAAGGCCTCGTTTTTGTTATCCACCCGTCGCAATAGAAGATGACATTGTGACTGCAGAAGCTTCCTAAAAGGTTAGTACCGTAATATAATCCCACAAAAAAAAAACTATCGTATACGCACGTTGACACGTTGAAAGTAATCAAAAGTGAAAATTGGAACGACAGCACTATGTAACCCAGAGGGCGATTTTTATTTATGCCATGGTTACACTATCCAAGTCGATGGCAACGTTTCGTACGGAGTAATACAATCTCCAAGCTATCCAATTTCTTTCATTGGGAACTGGAATGAGTGTATGAAAGATGCTGATAACTTTGTTGCTTTCCTTGTTGGAAAGAATAACCATGGCTTCCGCTACTACCATTGCTGTTGTTGTTGTTGTTACTCCAAAAAGGTCTTTGACTAGCTCCTCCGCCTCTTGCTCCCTCTTTCTGCTGCGCATACTGCTGACGCTGCGGCATATGATGCTGCTGACGCGGCTGTTGAGAAGGCTGAGCAAAAGATGCTTTTTGGATGTCCATGTTTTTGGGTTTCTGGCTTTTCCGGAATTGTTGCTGCTGATGCCTCGGCTGATGAGAATAATGATGATTGTGATGCTGTTGCTGTTGTTGTTGTTTATGTGATTCAACAGATCGACGTCGATCACCCCCTTGCTTTGTAAATTTATGTTGCTGCTGCTGCTGCTGCTGCTGTTGGGAATGTATTCTCAGATTTGGTGTGCTACTCCTTCGTAAATTGGACTTTTGCTGTTTCTTGTTACGTAATAATGGCTGTTGTTGTGGTTGATGCTTATATACATTGTTGTTGGGTATTATGCTGGTATTGTTGCAATGGTTATAATAAAATGACTGGGGATGCTGATAATAATGATACTCGGTAGTAGAATTGGTTGGGGCATTCGTAACAGGGGCGTTAGTTGCTGTTGTTGGAATAGTAGCAGGCATGGTTGGAGGCAGTGAATGTGGATGATACATGCAGTGATGTACTGTTGGAGCAGCAGCGGGCGATAAATCGGATGGAGATACATTATGCTGATGGTGATAGATAGATACAAGCTGTGCAGGTGATGGTGCATGAGCGGTCGACGGTAGTGCCGCAGAAGAAGAAGAACTGCCGCTGCTGCTGCTACTACTACTGCTACTGCTACTGCTACTACTGCTGCCGCTACTCTGCTCAGCACAAGAAGATGATGAGGACGGCGCTCGTGTCATGTTGGGCATTATCATTGGCGGTGGCGCAACGACAATACTGTTGTTGTTGTTGACATAATGTCTATCATACATTGTCTTTGACATATTCCTGGTCATCATCGTCGGCGGCACTTTTATGACGTCTGAAGCAATGGGAAGCGGAGGAGGAACGGGTGCTTTTGTTGTTGCTGTTGCTGTTGCTGTGGGTACTCGACATATACTACTGCTGGTACCGGGAATAGCAGCAGCAGCCGGTGGGAAGTATTTGGCACAGAGTGCTTCCAAACTCTCAGTTTCCAGCAAGATATGCACCGCGCGTCGAAACTCGGCTTGCAACCCATAAACAGAAGCATCATCTGCCGAGTTTCCCAGGTTCCGATGGACATTGAACGGCTCTTCGATGCAAAACATGCGCTTGTTTGGGCCCTCGTGCCAACCTTTTTCTCGTTTGCGCAGGTAGCGCCCGTGACGTACAGACACCACCTGTGTTTCATAATCAAACTCGTATGCAAACCGTCGAAAGAATGCAAAGAGTAGGCCGCCAAGGCTTTCATGGTTGCGTTTGCCGAAATCTTTGAGCGAGTCGATGTCGGTGTAGAATGAAATGTCGAGTCCATCCACCAGCGTGGTTGTCTGGTCATTGTCGTATACTCCTCGTCCTCCCATCTGATGTAGCACGGGTAGTATGGGTGGTTCGCGCATCTGCAGGAAATTAATGATCATACATGTCCATGTGTATGTCGACAGGGTGCCACCGTCCGCTGTGTTTTGTTGTTGTTGTTGTTGTTGTTGCATTGTTAAAGAGTTGAGTTTGGTTTATGTGTCATAAACATAGGGACTACACCCCTCCCCCAAAAGTTAAGCAACACATACCTGCATTATTCAATGCCCGTTGACGGGTCCAGTACTTTATCAACATGGCCAACGGTCGCACACGAGGATCAATCGCCACATACGTTTTGATCATACGAGTGTTGTGCAGCGCTAGTGGGTTGTTGACATTCATGTCACAAGCCAGTTGGCTTTTGCATAAACAAAAAACGAATTAGTTTCTTGCAAGCTGTTTCCTGAAAAAAAGCCCCCAACACTTACTAGACAGGATCCCACATCTTGACAATGGGCACTTTTGCACGCGGCACAGTATGGACCCGCTGCATTCCATCTGGGTTGTAACAAAGTATCTATCAGTCTCATTTGACTAGATCCTCATTATGTCGGTAGAGCAGTTCTCTAGAACTTACGTTTCTTCAAGACACCGGCCAGGGTTTTCACGCATTTCAATCCGGCCCAAGAAGTAGTTAGACAGATATCGACGTCGGATGTTGACGTGCCCAAATCATTCTCGGAAGACCTAGTGTGTGTTTTTTTGACATGCACACAAAAAGTTAGCTTCTAGCAATTCACAAGCACCGACAACAAAACAACAGTTGACCCGAAGAAAATGGAACTGTGGTGTTACCCAAACAAATTGGCACGAATATCTTGGCCTTTCCATTCAGAATTCAGGATGGCTTCGACTTTGGTTACAAAATTTCTACGACGTTTGTATGCATCTCGAGTCGGTAACAGTCGCTAATGACATACACACATGCACTTGATGAGATCTTGTTCACCCGTATCTACTGTTTCTGTTCTTTCTTATTTCTTCCCCCCCCCCCCACTGCCCCCCCTAAAACTATAATCCAGGGCGCAATGGAAAGCGCCGTTCATATAAAGAAGAAGAAGAAGCACTACAAGCAAGGGCACTTCCGAAAGAAAAAGCAGAAACCCAAAAACGAACTCCCTAAAAAAAAGAAAGAAAGAGAGAGAGAGAGAAAACACCTCTCTTACCTCATACAGATCCAACATGGAAACGCTTAAATCGTCTTGCACACTTCTTTCTAGCGTGATCGGAACAAAACATGGCCAACAAGAAGGCAACAATAATTTCATCGGCGATATATCATCTTTATGCAGTTCTTGTGGTGCTCCTTGTTGATGATGGTACAATCGCTGTTCTCTCAGATCAATAGAAGCCGCAGTAGCCGTTACATCGTTACTCGTTTTGTTACTACGGGGAGTGGAAGCAATAGCAATAGTGGGCGAGCTCGATTCTTCGGTGGGCGCAGGTGAATGATCGGTTGACTCGTCTGAAGTGACATCGGATGACCCATATTCTTCTTCTGCTTCTTGGGCTGTCGGATCGTCGTTGCCGTCGTTTGTAGGAGAGGACTGCGACGAGTGCGTCTTGAACGGATCAGTAAACCGAGGCAACACAATGGACACCGGGTCAGTAATGATTAACGCCTTGGTTGTCAACATGCCGAGAGCAAATCAGGAAAGGAAAGCGAGTGTGGATTTGAGAAAGTGAATCGCCAATGGTGGGTTGGACCGTATATATAGTTTTTTTTTTTTTGTTATTGTCAAGATGTATTATATGTAGGCTGTCTTTATATGTGTGTGGGGTGTACGTGTATTGTCTGTGTGTTGTATGAGAGTAAGTGTAGGAGGTGCTGTTTTAGTGGTGGTGGTGGTGGTGGTGGTGGTGCTACTGCTGCTACTGCTGCTGCTTCTGTGATATGAGTGGAGCACAAAAAAAAAGTCTAAAAAAGAAAGGGGAAGAACAAGAAAACAAGAAGAAGAAGGTGTAAGAAGCACAGAAAAAGAAAAAGAAAATTAAAGTGCATAAAATGTGAGAGAGAGAGAGAGAGAGGGGGGGTGTGTAACCCAGCCTGCAGAGTGCAGTGTTACCAATGGCTGTTGTTGCTGCTGCTGCATGTATTTAATACAAGTACTGCTATTGCTGGTGTTGCCAACTGCCACTGCCTACATGAACGTAAATGCCACCCACGCTAGTAGACCCGTCACTGCAATATCGACCGTCTGCGCCACGAGATACAACGTGCAGAGCATACCGAGATTGCGGATATTCTGTTTCATTTCGTTCAGCTGTAATCCCAATCCAATGCTGACAAACGACAGCGTCGAGAACCACTCGGACACGTAAAAGCAAAAGTCATTCACCACCCCTCGACGGTCACTGTCGTCGCCAAGCGTCGTGTTGAACAGCAACGCTGTCAAGACGAACCCAATCACAAACTTGGGAAATCGTTTCCAGAGCAGCACATGTGCCTTGTCACGTTGCGGTTTCTTGAGCGTCGTTGCCGTGGGCCGACCAGCACCGTCACCACTCGTTCCATCATCGTCATTGTTATTGGCAAAGTCACGATTATGCTGCGCCAACAACTCTTCCTCTTCAAACCGCCGCTGCTGGTAAAGTTCATACTGAGACCATGCCCAAGCCATGAGAACAGACAATGGACCGATGAGTACGTTTTGGACCATCTTGACCACAGCCGACGTATCGATCGCTTCCTTGTCACCATAGATACTCGCAGCGGCAATCACGCCCCCGGTCGAATCAACGCATCCGCCAAACCACGCGCCGCTGACGGTGGATGAAAAGTCCAAGCGCTGCGCAATGTAAGGCAATGCAATGATACTCGGGATCGTAAAAATGGAAATAATCGCAATCGGCATCTGGCTCTTGTGCGGAACACCCATGGAAGCACCCAACGCAATCGCTGCAGAGGAACCGCAGATGAACGTGGCACCCGATAGGATAATGGCCGTCTGTCGATCTATCTTGAGCACGCGCCAGCCTACCCAGGCCACCACCATGAACAACAACGGCGTGTCAATCCAGCTCACAAACAATGCACGGGGTGCCAATGGCTTGAGCACGCCAATGTCGATGCACAGCAGTACTAAACTGACGGCAATATAAAGTTCGGTCTGCTGAGCTACTTTGAGGTAGCCCGGCAGCGGGTAGCCGAGGAAATCAATGACATTGCGCAAACAAAAGCCAAATATGATGGCCCAAATCGATGCACCCAGGCTCGCCGTGGTTAAAATCACTACACAGCTTCTTTTTTAGTTCTTCTTCTTCTTCTCCATCCCCCAACACAACACACACCCTTTGTCTTACCATTGCTGGCAAGCATCTTTGATATCAGAGCAACAAAAAACACAATCGCGTAACCAACCGGATACGTTTTCCAATCGCGTGCTCGCACAGACGCCATACATAGCCATAGCAACGCGCCCATGGCAAAGAAAAGGACAATGAGGCCATAGTTGCCCACAGTGGCAAACGTCATAAACGGATTATGATCCCACTTTATAAACTTGGGCTGTGGAATATCGTGATTGACAGCTCCCACGATGCAGCCGAAGAAAATAAGGCCGATCCATACAGACCACCAATCTTCTGTATTCCACCAAAGCAGCCACGGTCGCCAATCAATCTTGGATTGGTGTTGTTTTTTAGTGATTGCTGTTGTTGTAGTAGCAGTAGTTAAATTCGAGCTCTTATTGTCAGCGGTGTCGTCTGTTGATGCCACGTCGTTAAATGGTCGTGAATAAGCAGTTGTTTTGCCATGGATTGTCGTTTTTCCAACATTGTTACTGCTGGTGCCACTGCCGCTGGCAATGGGTGTAAGTTGGTGGGTGGTGCTAGTAAAGCCCTGCAATTCTACAGACGATCGGCGGCTATTCGATCGCGATAGTGTACGTCGGGTGTCCATAAAGCGAGTTGTATTGTAAAGAGAGGGATACGGAGAGGGAAGGTATGTAATGTATTATTTACAGGTGTATGCTTGTACAGTAGAACTATAACAATTCTACGTTTGGGTTATGAATGCGTGTGTATGTACTAAGTAGTTATGTAAGGTAAAACAATAGAAGATAAGAAGGAAGAAGCGGAGATGTTCCCACTGATTTTTTCTTCTACAAACGCAATTCTTGTAATCGATTGCGAAAGCTATTATCGTCAGGGCACTAGAAAAGAAAAGTAAGGTTTATGTTTTTTTCGCACGATTTTTTGATGTTTGCGAAAGACATGAACGGGTAAGCTTTTGGCCAGCATATATTTCGATTTCTGTACCACAGTGAAAGAAAGAGAGAGCGTCATATTACCTCATCGTGCGTCATTTCGCCTGGTCGTCGTTGGATGCACAATACGCCAGAATCGAGCACAGACTTTTGATAAGGACCTGTGCCGTCCATTTGTACACAAATTGGCCAGTACCGCGCGCTATCCAGCTGAATACTCTTGACGAGCGTATACGTTGGCATGACCGTGGGTGCAATCACGCGTATTTCTTTCAGTCGCCGTTCTGCTTCGGGCAGCCAAGGCTCGTCTTGATACACCGTCAGACGAAGCGGGACCCGACATGGTTTCACCGTGTCCACATCGAACGGGGTCAACCATCGCACATCCAGCGCCAAGGTCCACAAATGTCGAAACGCCTGCAGGCTGTATCGATTGTCGTCGGGCGATATCGGGTAAAATGGATAGAACGCTGTCAGTAGACCTGCAATGGCTTCGTTTGTCGTCTTGAGCGTGTAACCACCAAGGCCGGTAAATAGTAGACCCATGGCCATATGCGTTGCCATATGGTTACCATAGTTGACATTGCCATGTGTACGACCATGGAGTTGCTTGAGTCGTTCCAACAGTGTCAGGTTGCCGGTACCTGCAACTACCATGGCAGCTGCAGTCGCAAGCACATCCACGGCTGTTTTCACTGCATTCTTTGTAATATGTTCTTGGAATGAGACCGCAGTGATGTTGGACAACTTGATAAAGTGATCGAGTCGTGATAAAAGACATTGAAATGCTTCTTGGTTGTCGGAACCCGCGTACCGAAGACCGATGCATAGACATGCACCTGCAATGATATTGTACATGGCTTGTTTGGACGCCTCGATTTGCCAGTCTTCCTGTTGTTGCTGTTGTTCTGACGAAGAAGAAGGATTTTCACGCATGAAGGGGGGAAGTTGAAGGTCGATCCAGGCGTTCGTCGGCCGAATTGTGTTCCACATGATGAGGTTCTTTGCGACGACGCGAACGAGTAGGAAATCAGGGCGAATATAGTTCAGGTACGGTCGGGTTTCGAGCACATCGATCCTTTCGGCGATTCTTGCATTCTCAGTCTTGAGATACATTAGCCCAAGAGCGATCGTTGCTGGAGCCGATGTTACATCCAAATTGATGAACTTTTGTCGTGTCTGCTTGCTTCCTGCTTCCCCTATTCCGCCTGGCCCTGATGCCAATGACGATGGCGCGGATCCTATTCCTCCATCTCCTCCTCCAACGGCCCCGCCGCCACGTGCACCGCCTCCCATCGGGTTGCGCGAAGACTGCTGTGCACCACGCTCTCGACCTGTCATCAACTGGTGGAGCGTATCCTCAATGTGCAAATCCGCTAACGCCGCCGTTTCCCCGCCACTACCCAACGTAATGTATCCGAGCGCAAATCCTGCAGCCAGCGCACAACTTTCGAAATCCGAATCCATCATGGACGAATCTGCATACGCGTGTCGTCCAATTTCGCAAAGAATAACCGAACTCATCAGCCGATCACATGATCCCATATAATTAAGACCCATGCTGAGCAAACACGTGGACTGGATCAGCACCGAGTGTCGCAACGTTGTTGATGCTTCCGGAAGCAGTGCGGGTATATGGACAGAGAGCAGTTTGGTCACTTTACTCTCCTTGGTGCCTCGATACGCAGCTGCTGCGCCAAGAACAAAGCCAGCAGTCACCAGTTCGCAGTTTTGAGTCATGTAGCGATACCAATGGAGTAAAGGTAGTTGGCGCAAGTTGCCATTGAGTCCCAGGGCAAGGAGGAACCCACCATGTTCTGGCTTGAGTTCGCTGGGATTGCTAAATACGATCCAGGATCCGCTTACTTTGTGGCTCGGGGAGATGCGCAAGCCAGCTGCGACGCCGTTGTGGAATTGTGGCCACTGTAGATAGTCTTGGCTCCATGATCGGTCGTCGGCTGCAACTACTGTACGGAGTGGGAGTAGCTTGGCTGATAGATTGATGGTGTCCAGTGGAAATGCTTTGGTCAGATCAGGTTTGTATGTTCCGAAAGAGTACATGCCTCGGCCAACAGACAAGGCGAGCGTTCGCTGGATCAGGTTCATGACATGCACTTGGTGCTCTGCAGTGACCTCGTCATCGCTATAGGATGGATGGATGGATGGATGAGATTTACAAGTAATTCAGGGGTAAAATGTTTTGAACAAGTAATTCAGGGGTAAAATGTTTTGAAAGAAAAGTAACTCTTGACTTACCCTAGATCAGGCCGATCAGGAACCACAATTTCTGGCACTCGGGTGCTATCCAAAGAAGTACGTACCGTGTCTAAGACGCCAGTATATCCGAAACGTAGATTTTCAGTATCGGCATTGAGTTTATCAGATTCGAATGATCGGGTCGTAGTGGAGTCAGCATCCTGTGCGTTTCTTTCCGACTGGTTTTTTTTTCATTCATTCAAAAGCAACATTAATTACCTAGAGAATAACGATTCAACTTATATCTTCCTTTGAATAATAACAGCCAGACTAACCTTTTGAACAGGAAGACGAAACTTTTCCGCGTTAGGATCCACCACTGTCGATCTTACCAACATTTGTTCGGCCATATCATGTCGATCTAAACAACAGCAATGGTTTGAGCCTGTTGCGGCATTTTCTAGAAACGCAACTTTTATAAAGAGGTTACCTATGACCCGATAATGTTCTGGCGTCCATGTCATGACCGGCTTTTCACGAAAATATTCCAAGACTTCAAGTAAAGGTCGCGCCACAAAACTATCAATGTCTTCAATCTCACGCTGATATATCCCATCTTCCACCATACGTAGGACCATTCTTTCAGGCCCACCGGTGCCAAGTGCTTCATACAACATCCAGACCATTTTGACAGTGCGTGCAAACGTATATTGCTGGTTGTTATTTCCCAAGGGTGGATCGATGCGGGTTACACCAAAGACTTCGTCCAACTTTGTAGGATTTTCTGTAGTAGGTGGAAAATAATAAAGAGTATTGATGATGTCTGGGGGATCGATGTAGCGTCGCCTTGTATACGTGACTGGATCAGCTAGTTGAATGACTGAAGGATAATTTGTATGAGTTACTTTTAGTAAATTAAGCGAGGGTAGCATTGTGGGAGGGATGAAACGGTTACCATGATCGAGGGGACCTATATCAAATCCTTGTGCGACATAATACGTTATCCATGTCTTTTTACGCACCATTGTGCAGAGCAGAACCAGTAACAGTCCCACATCTTGAAGCATTTGATTCCGTTTGACTTTGGATAGGTGATAATCTTCGTATTGTAAATGCAGATAGCGTATAATGTTGTCCGAATCGTTAAGAAAACCTGCCACTTGTTTACCCCCTTCCTTTGTATCTTTTTCGCTCAAATCGATCGCCTTGGTGACGAAGGATCGCACCTTGTTGGACAACAGTGGCTCGGGCTTATTGATCAAGGGCGCTTGCTGCTGCTGCTGCTGCTGCTGTTGTTGTTGTTGAACGAGCGCTCGTAACTTGGGTGGAAGTCGTCGCAGTACTTGGGATTGTGGTGGCAGCAGTGGCAATGGCGACGGAGGAACTTGCTGATCGTCACTGGTTGTGGGTGTGCTGGTAGTAGTAGTGCTGCTGCTGCAAATATCCATAGGATCATCTTCATTTGCTTGCGGCGACGACGACGACGATGATGATGATGACGATGGTGCCAATAATGGAAAAAACGAGAGCAATGTAATGATAAATGCCTCCCATTCCACTTCCACCCGATCTTTCTGGTCAACTGTACCATTCTGTTGTAGGGCAGTAGTGAAACAGTACTCCAGAAACCGTTTCCGGAACAACCCATATTTCTGATTTGACAGTGCACACGCTAATGCTGCAAGACCGTCAAGAACCATGCCAGATTGTGGTGTGATATCGACTTGGCAACGTTTGATTCTGCCATCGGATGATACGATATTGAATCGACAAACAGCACTGTCACGAAGATCGGTGATCGTTGGTGATGCTGTTGCTGCTGCTGCCCGTGAATTCCCGTCGTCTGATACCAAGTATTCAGGAATGGCCAGCGGAATTAGCAGTTGTTGATGGATATCGACAATGAGTTGAAGTTTGTTGTCCCGCACAATGATGATTTCTCTGGATCCTTTTGGTGAAACGACTGGAACAGCGTGTGACGCGGCAATCTGTGCGACCAAAGGGTCCGTGCGTCGTAGCAATAGTTGTGGAACGCTTACACATAACAGTAACCCCTCCTTTTTTTTCATGATGCATAAGATCTCAGATCCATCCGTGTCGTGGGCAACAAAAACCGATGACTGGCGTTGTCCTTTTCGACGTGCTGGCTTTCTTTTTATTATCATATATTGCACAAAAATTAGGCCAAGATGATAATTGTTCGTTCCTCTCCCCCTCTCCATATTCTATGCCAAAAAGAAAAGTACTTACTCTTCATATAACAAATGAAGGTATAGACGAGCAACATCAGTCGACTCGGTGAAGCTGTCACCGGCTTCTGAGCCAAAAAGTTGGTCTGTATCCGAGCTGTAATCTTCATGGAATTGGACAAAGGAATCCTTACGGGTCAAAGGTGGAGTTGTTGTTGCCATTGGCGAAGGAGATGTCAGATTTTTCCGTTGTTTGCCTTTTGATTTATTGCTGGATGACGGTGACGATGGAGGCTGTAATCCAAAGGAGGAAGTCAGTTTCCGTCTCTTGTAGTATGGAAGCACACGATCCTTTTGATCCGAGTATAGCCAAACGGAATGAGCACATCGTTTATCGTTATAGGTAACAACGAGTTGTTGTTGTTTCTTGGTGCTACTGCTACGGCTACCACCACTGTTGCTGCTACTGCCTGTTGACGCTGCATAATCATTGACCGTGGTCGTAAATACAAGCTCATGTGCTGCTGGAACTTGTTTCTTGTCGAAAAAACTGATGGATGCATAAGAATTATCGTTTCCATCCTCAGCCTTGCTGACCCATTCTGCTTCGCGTGTAGGATCCGTAATGCTGATAAAGGTAATGCCATGGTCGTCCGTCACCAGTTCACCGCGTTTCGGCTCAAGCAACAACCCAACTTGTAGAGCGCATGCATTTTGTACTGGAAACGGTAAATGGACCGTATACATCATACCGTCTTCAAAATGAATCTTGACGGTGTCACGCAGTATGATACACAATGCTTTTCGTAATATGCTTCCGTCGCGTAACGTTGACTCTTTGCTCGTCCCTTGCTCCTTGGCCAAATAGTCCTCGCTCCGTTTGCGTTTACTCAAAAGGGAACCTGAAACTTTTGCTGCACCAGTGCCACTACTACTTGCTATATTTTGGTTGCTCGCCGAAATCGAAAACACACCTTGCGTTTGCAATATCATTTTGAGCAAGTCGGCATTATCGTTTTCATCAAAATCATCACTGCTTTCCGTGTAAAGCCGGTCTTCTTCGCGCTGATCAACTGTCGCATAAACAGGGTTTCCTGTAGCGTCGTTTGTTGTATTGACGCGTTCAAACGGAAACCAAGCAAAAAGTGCAATTTCCACAGGCTGCTTTTCCATTTCGTACTTGAGAGACATCAAAAGATGGCCACCACGACTCCACATGACAGTGGATCCTTGCACATATAATTCTTCTTCGATATTCATTGCTGGATTGGAAACATGTCGTTTATTGGTATGACGCAATGGTGCCGAAGGTGTTGGTGGATTAGGCCGACGACGCTGTTGCTCCTTTTGTAATTGTTGTGGACGATGTTGACGTTGATGATTGTTATTACTAGTGCTATTCGTAGCACTAGCTTGGTCGCCGTAACGATCTTGCTGTTGCTGAAATAGATCTTTGGTAGTAGGTCTGTCGTCGACTGCATAAAGTGTATACGCGGAATCTTTGGGTTTGATCTTGAAACGATTGGCTCCTTTGAAAAGTGTGCTAAAGTCTGTTTGCTGCATTCCGGAAGACTCGACAACGAGATGGCGATGGCGTGCAGCAGTTTCTCGTCCACAGGGAACGAAATCCCAAGTAGACTTTAGCATATGCGTTAAACAGGAAAAATATATGTCAAAGGGGGAATGAAGAACTAGAGGTACGGACGGAGAAGGCGAGTTTTTGCTGCGATTTTCCTGCTGCTTACGAATGATTTCAAAAGTCGCGTTTTTAGTGTCACGAAATCTCTAATTTGCAATGATGCGGAGGCACGCTGTAATAATTAAAGCTTGTAGTTTATTTGCTTGAAGTAGCTCTACACTAATATTGCTCTGTATATATTGGGTTATCATCAACAAGAAGAGCTCTTATTCATTGTTTATATATACCTTGCTGCAAGATATGCGCGTCGCTTCTTCTCAGCATGCGCTTCTTCTACACGGCCGCAAAGGAGAATAGCAACAAAAGTACGGATATTATACTTTATATGTGTTGACAATAATGTGCTTCTTTATTGTTGTTGTTTATGTATACACAATAATATTAAGGCGTCCCATCACTGGGTCCTTGCATGATCAGTAAACATTTTTGTTGGAGGATGTAAAAATCGTCATCATGTTGCAAAGTGCTTCGATCTCATAAATAATATAAAAACGTGTGTTTTCGTCTTTTCTTCCATTGATCGATATACTTCCTCCTAATATATAATCTCGTCCTTTGGCTTTTCGCTCTCTCTCTCTCTCTCTCACGCTTTTTTCGCTTTTAAATGCAATACTCGAAATGTTGAATAAATCAAAGGCTAGAACCACGAATACTGATGACAACGTCAAATCCGTGGAAGAACAACAAGTGCAGGAGGATGACGAATTTGACGCTCTACTTGGTATCGGCTGTAGTAATAGTAACGCTGATTGTTGTCGTAATCTGGAAAGATGGTGCCAACAGCAGCAGTTACAGAAAAAAACAGGACCTCAAGAGTCTTACACGGAGCACTTTTCGTGGCTCTTTTCAAGCGTGATGGCATTAGTCGGTTGCAAGTTTATCAATCAGCTTGCACATTTGATGACGGTGTCTATCGTGGGCCACTTGGTAATGACTGCAACAACAACGGAGAACTGTTTTCCCCTTTGTTTTGATGTGTACCCTAGCAAAAGAAAACAATAACTAACGATCACCTCCCCTTTATTGTCGTACGGTATCATGATAATGATTGAAAGGGAGCAAAAGAGCTAGCCGGCTTGTCTCTTGCCCAAATGCTTGAAAAATGCGGTGCAGGATGCTTCCTTGTTGGAATGACCTCGGCTTTAGATACACTATGCGGACAAGCATGGACTGGAGCCAAAGACAAGACGTTTATTGGATTATATCTTCAACGCGCAATTGCGATATATACCGTAATGGTGGTTCCCATTTTTACATTCTGGGCTATGTCATTGCACTTATTGCGTGAGAGTGGTACAGACGCAGATGTCGCTCATTATGCGGGTACGTAGGCAGCTAATATGCGATGAGAAAAACAAAGATAGATCCCGCAGACCCTATTGCATAATCTTCGAAGTAGAAACAAAAACGGATCATACTCACCTCCCGTTCGCTCTATCATTGTTTCTATAGGCGTCTATTTGCTATTTTACGTTCCTGGTATGCTTGCGCTTGCTGGATTTCATATGTGCGGATCATTTCTTCAGGCTCAAGGTATCATGCGCATCGGTGCATATGGTGCGGCATTGTCATTGCCAGTAACGGCAACTGCAAACTACATTTTCGTGACCGGTCGACCCTTTAAATGGGGTGTTTCCGGGGCCGCATTGGCGGACAGCATGAACCCAATTACCATATTTACGCTAGTCGTCAGTTACACTGTTTTTGTCACCGGACGTCAAGGGTGGGGCGGATGGGCATCGACAAAAAGCATATTCTCTGGATGGTGGCCGATCATCCGACTTGCTGCCTCGGCCTTTTGTCTCAACCTATTCAATAGTGGCATCCCGCAAATGTGCACATTGACTGCTTCCCGGTTCGGCACGACAGCATTGGCAGCTTACTTTATTCTCTTACGGACGGACCATACTTTTAGCGCCATTGGATACGCTCTGAAATATGCCACCATCACACGTATCGGTAATTTAATGGGCCAAGGGTCTCTGGCTGATGCAAAACGTGCCATCGTGATTGGCAGTTGTCTTGCTACCTGCATTGGAATGGCGCCAGCATTGGTTTTCCTCGTGTTTCGTCAAAAGTACCCTTACATTTATACCAATGATGATGCTGTTGCTGCGCTTGTCTCGGAGGCGTTACCCGTGGTCGCCTTGAAGCAGTTGCTGAATCCCTGGAACTGCTTTATTATGGGTATCTGCGACGGTCTGGGCCGTCAAAGAGTAGAGGCCGTAATAACCTTTGTTTGCTATTTTGTGATCGGCATACCTCTAGGCTACATTTCTGCTTTCAAGTGGGGATGGTCCATATTTGGTCTATGGGCCGGCCTGGTGATAGCAGAGTCTGTACTGACTGTGATCCTGTCTCTACATTTGTGTACACTGAATTGGTCTAAGGAGTCCCGCCAAATCAAAAACTGTATTGTAAATCAACAGCGACAAGAAGCCAGTGACAATAATAAATAGACAGAGCATATAATCTGTTGTATTGCAGAAGCCATGTTAAAATTCATCGTCCTTGAAAAATAAATCGATACAACTTTCTTTGCTTGGGATATACAGGTTTTTTCCTTCACAAGGGCGCTGAGTATTTTAGCATGGTGGTGGCGGGGGATACGTTTTTTACTTGGCACGTGGCTTAAAAGTGTTATCAAATGGCGATTGTTGAATTAAGACATCGCGGCTTAGTATACTACCTTTCATCATAATTTTATATCTTTGTTGGATAATATAAGTGGTGCCAACTAATGCCAAGCAATTCATAAGCATTTTGAGGTCAAGCATAGAGCATTAACAACGCCCGGTTTAAAAGAAAGCAAGCATCTATTTTGATTCAAATATCCTTCATTTTCATTACGATGTACGCTGTCTACGCTCCCCAGCTTTTCACATATAATAAAACTGCAATGAAAAACGTGCAATATGACCAAAAACTTCCATTTGCAAATGGATATGATGGTGATAATGCCGAAGCAGAGGCGATTATATATGCAGAGGGAACAATAGAAGAAGATCCCTACCACCTTGTTGTCGTCGACTTTGATGGGAGTGAAAATGGTATACGCTCTCTGGTATCAAAGGTAAGGGCAGCTAATAGCTCGGAAAAAGTACTATACAATTAAACTGAAATCAACATTGACATTGCTGATACAAAAAAAACAGCATGAAATCGAACCTGCAACCGAAAAGCTGGGGGCAACAACCAAAATCACTCTCCTCGTGCTTCCAAATCCAGTAACAAACAACGGAACGGAACAAAAAGGCAGACAGCTCACAAAGCCTTAAACAAAAGTGCTGAACCTAAAAGATATGTCCTTACTATTTGTTGATCACAATGGCTTGAGTTATATTACAGTGCGTTAATTGAAATGTGGTATTGTAGGTCCCAATAGGAGTTACACCGATGAGTATATCATCTAGTTGATTGATACTATTCAAAATGTAACTTTGTGCGCGCCTGGAGCTACTCGCCAGTTACGAAAGCGTGAACGTACCCCCGTATGATACGATATTACGCCCGTTTCCGTAATGGGGAACCGTACCTCCCAAGCCATCTCAAAAAAAGCCTGGAGCAGTGCCAGTCCTAACTATCTATCATACTGTATTTCTTCAGAATATATATAATTCGGATCCTACCCTTACAATCAAGCAAGCGCAGAAAAAGCTCCATAAGCACTTTCAAGTCTTCATCACCTAAAGCAGTTTATAAAGACATCTTGTGAAGCACTGTGGTCTTACGATGAAGAAGCTACAGAAGCTCAAGGAGTACCGGGTCTCCCTTGAAACTATCAGGTAAAGAGTGGTTACATACTCGAGGTCAGAAGACACAATACCGATTTCGTTCAATGTTTTAATCGATGAAGCAGGGTTCAATTTGCATTTGAAGCAAACTTTCGGGCGACTGAGAAGAGGAACCCCTGCCAAAGCATAGTCACGTGCTGTAACCTGGTGTGTAGATGCGACAATACGTGGAGTCAAAGAGTCGGCCTTGGTTGAAAGCTCGCGTTCGACACCAGCTTCAAATTTGACTGAAACTCTTCTATCGATCCTAAAAATGGTGAATAAGGGGGGCGATGCAACACCTGGAATCCACGCTTAGTAACAATTCTTTGTACCAATTGAGCGTGGATTCTAGCATTATCATATTCATGACAAGAAATATCCCATGGATATATTTCTTCTGAAGCACATCCATCACCGTCTCCAAGAATTGGCAAAAATGTTATACTCTGGTACCAATAGTGGCAACCAAGCGTTGTTCAAAGTCCTCCAACTTTCTTTACTTGGAGCCCCCCAGCCACTGCTTGTGATTTCCGTAACGAGAGAATACCGCACCTTCTTGGGCAATAGCGCCCATAATAGATATGCTGACAACACGGTTTTTAGCGACTACGGCCTGTGAGGGTGGGCTGAACATTCTAAATCGTTCTTTTCCCCATGTGTTTTAGAGCAGAAAATGTTATAATTGTGTTTTTACCTTACCCTGATATTTCTTAATTTTTTGCACTTAAATTCATCTAGCAAAGAAGTAAAACTATGATGAAGAGTAGAACAGTAGGCCTCCATGTCTCAGCACATCAATCGCCATGATAATAACATCTTCACGCCATGTAGTGCCAAATTGAAAAAAATGTCGCGCCAAGTAAAAAACATATCCACCCCTCATGATACTTCCCACCGCCATGCTAAAATAAAAAAAACTCAGCGCCATTATCCATCCCCATCTCTGAGGAAAAAATCTGTATAGACCACCCGGCTTTACGGATTATATGACATCATCGCTTCATGGATTTATATGTTAGTTGATCGTTATACTCTGTACATATATCTCAACAACTCGCTATATATTTCTAACGTGCAGTTTGTTCAAGACCCAGCTTATCCAGTAAAACTCAACAACAAGGAGCAGCTGAAGCGTTCATTACGCTATCGCTCCCCTTATGTAAACGATATTAAAGAACCCGCTGTGTATTAGCCCATTATTCTCTCTGGAAGCACGCAGGGGCATAAGATATAGGGAGTGGAGCCCTCTCCAGTAGGTCATTGGGTCTGCGCGTGATAATCGCTGCGCGTCCCTGACTAATCCTACCATATATACATGGCAAATAAACTCAATTAGTGTTGTGCAGACAGGGGCCATCCCATCATCCATCGCAACGATTCATCTGCTTGAAAATGTTTTTTAAAAATACTAGGCCCAATTGATTTCTTTCTTTACATATTTTCTTCTTCTTTTTACACGGTTTATGATCCTTTAAATAATTTTTCTCTATGCAATAATATTTGAAATGGTCAAAGCGAAATCCGAATTTGCTGAGCCCTATGGCACAGATGATGAAGCACTCGCTCTATTGCTTGATCGTAGCCGCAGCAGCAGTAGTGATGATGACGATAATGATTTTCGACACTGTCGGCGGCACAAACCCGAAGAATCCTATACAGAGCATTTTTACTGGCTATTCTCAAGTTCGATGGCTTTGATAGGCTGTAAATTCATACAGCAGCTCTCGCAACTGGTGACAGTCTCTACCGTAGGACATTTGGTACATACTTTGGTTTACGTACTTTTCTTCGATGTCACATCGTTTTCGGCTCGATCTGTTTGTAACTGTTGACAAGCATGCGGCTGACACATCTCTTTTCTTCAAATCCAATAAAGGGATCACAAGAGCTTGCCGGTATGTCTCTCGCAGAGATGCTCGTAAGACTTACTACACTGTCCCTTGCGCTTGGAATGACTTCGGCGCTGGATACATTGTGTGCACAGTCATGGACAGGGGCCAAGGACAAGACTTCGACTGGATTACATCTTCAACGAGGAATTATCTTATACAGCGTACTGACGATCCCTATTTTTGTTTTGTGGGCCATTTCATTACATCTGCTGTCGTTGTTTCGTAACCACCAAAAAGATACAGATTATGTCGTTCAGTATGCAGGTAAAGTGTAAACAAAACTGCGGAGAAGATCTTTTTTCTAATAGTTTGTCACTTAAAGCAAATATATGTGTGTAAATCAAACTTTAATAACAGTTAAAACATGCATTATTTTTCTGCTTTGTGTCATGATATCTTTCTGTAGGATTATATTTGCTATCTTTTGTGCCTGGTTCGTTTGCATACGCTGGATATCATATGTGCGGCTCCTTTTTACAAGCTCAAGGCATCATGCGTGTCGGTGCATATGGAGCGGCACTATCGCTACCAGTAACTGCAGCAGCGAACTACGTGTTGGTGACAGGCAAACCTTTCGAGTTGGGCGTCTCAGGGGCAGCATTAGCAGATGCTTCGTTTTCAGTGACCATACTTGCACTCATTGTTACATACATTGTGTTTGTTACCGGACCACAAGGCTGGAATGGCTGGTCCGCAAGTAGTCTTCATGGATGGTGGTCGATCATCCGACTCTGTATTCCGACATACTTTTTCTTCTTATTCCGTCAGGCTGCCCCTCAACTCTGTACGCTGGCTGCATCCCAATTTGGAACGAAATCGCTTGCTGCTTATTTTATTCTCCATCATACGGACGGGGCCTTGGCTTCGTTTGGTCACGGATTGAAACACGCCACGCTAACACGTATCGGTAATCTCATGGGCAAAGGATCTTTGGCTGATACCAGACGCGCAATCATTGTCGGTGGGGTTTTGGCGGTATCTATAGGATCAGCAGCTGGTGTGTTTGTGCTTGCTTTCCGATCAAGTTATTCTTACATTTACACCAATGACGAGGATGTTGCACGAATCGTTAGGAGCGCACTTCCGTTGATAGCGTTAAAGCAGCTGATTGGATTATTTGGTAGCTTTATGTTGGGTATATGCGAAGGCTTGGGACACCAAAGAGTAGGAGCCGTGGTATCGTTTGTATCCTCCTTTATCATCGGTGTACCACTTTGCTATGTCTTTGCCTTTACATGGCATTTGTCAATATACGGCCTCTGGATTGGTCTAACCATATCTGAAGCAATACTGACCCTAACTCTGTCTCTACATTTGTGGATGCTGGATTGGTCAGAAGAAGTACGAGGAATTAAAAAACATATCCTTACACTTAGTACATAGTCATGGCCATAACTAGACAGTAATACTATATGATAGCAAACTACTATCAGTGACAACCTTCTATATATTTTTTGTACTTAATTACCATCAAAATGAACAGCTTTCTCTTGCACCGCGATGCTTCTAGCTCTATCTCTTTGCATATCTTTAACAACGAGGATCGAATACATATGCTGACATATAATAATATGCTACAACAAAATATGTGCCAGAGTCAATACTTTGTCCATACATTATCGTTCGCTGGTCTTACCTACGTGATGATGTCTGTCGTTCATGGAGAGCAACGAGTAGTAGCCTCTACTTTGCTTTTTCGTGTATACACCGTGAAAATATATCTTACAAACGCATGCTTTTTTTTACCAATTATTGAAAACATACATACCAGCTGCTCTACAGAGTAGTTATATAAAATTACTTATATCACCTGCCCTTTCTTAAGAACTTCGAGCTTGTGGCCAAAGACGGTGTCGAAAAACGCCACTCTTGTTTTGAAAAAGGCCACATGTTTGACGATGTCCGTATCGCAGTCATCCTCCATAGCTATCAATCCCGCTATATTTACCAGACAGATGGTGTTCTACAAAACTGCACCCTGACTCCACTTCTTTACGATGTCTTTATCGACACGCTGCCCCGCCGTCTCCGGATCTTTATGTACATCTAAAACCACTTCAACTTTGCACTTCACCTGTTATGGGTGTATATGAAGCGGCAGCTCAGACACAACTCTACAGCGATGGCAAGAATGGACGTCCGAAGAAAGCTAGGCCAGATATCACCGAATTTTCGACACTTCTTTACGACATGCTGATGATGTCGTACTTCTAGGATCACCATAGGACATGGTACAGCTCCTACAAGTCGCCCAAAAACACTCGCTATTCTTGGTACCCCGATAAATGCGCCATCATCGACCATTCCACACCAGCCAATCAACCACATCCCACATTTTCCGTATCTACAACAAACCACTGCGCACCATCGAATCATTCCAATATCTAGGTATTCCATTCACCTGTCAGGGTATTGACGCTCAACAACTTTTCAGCCAGCGCACCACCAAGCAACTGAAGGAATAGCTCTCCTGCGAAGACTCGGCGTTCACCAATATGGCATGGGTCTTTGGCCCGCGCTTGAAGATATCGAGCTTTCATCCGCCCGGTCCCTGAATACGGCCTTGCAATCACCGCCTTATCAGCCTCCCAACTCAAAAAAGAAACATCAAGCACAAAACAGCTGCGTCAAGACCTGGACAATGTGACATCATCTTCATCCCCACATCTCTCACTACGCTCATAGCGTCTATAGACAACTCTTCTCTCCCCCCTTCTTACATCTTCCCTTCACTCTTCCTTTTCTAATTTAACTTTACTTCGTTACCTCTACTCACCAAACATCTCAATCCGGCTTGACTTTTTCCCTCTCTGAAAGGATTTTTTCAGTCAAAGCACCCCCTCCTACCATAGCTCCAGTATTGATGAAAAGAAGCATGTATAGAAGAAAGGAGGTCTGCAGATAAAGATCGTCTTTCAGATCCAATCGTTTAGTAACCGATGGAGCACATACTATCTTTTTCTGTTGATAGATTAGGCGAGTATGCTGTCATTGTAATTCGAATTGTTTACACGAGGGAAATAACAATATGCCTGAAACAGGAGTACATGATGGCGGCAGTTGCACACAAACAAACAACACATTATACTGCATCCCTCTACAAAAGAGAAGAGCCGAAGAATCGCCGCCTCCTCCACCTTCTTTTTGTTTTTTCTTCCGTAGGTATACCTGATGTCAGATAGAGACACCACCGAATCAATGGCATCCAAGAAAACGAGGCACCAAAAGCAGGACGATGATAATAAGACCGTTGACGATTACCTCGATGAAAGTTCCACTTTGTTGTCATCAGCAGCCAACAGTAAACGCTATGACGACGATGACGACGACAGTGGGAAAATTAGTGGTTCAAAAGCAGCAACACGTTCTCATATCGAACACGCGAAATGGATCATACATAAAAGCATACCCTTGTTGGTTACAACTTTGCTCCATCAAGTTGTTAAGTGGATTGTTATTATCACAGCAGGTCGTCTGGTAAGCTAAAATAAAAGAAAGCAAAGAATATTCAACAAGAACAATTGACCTGGAAAAAAAAACAGGGATCGGTCGAGCTTGGTTCGATTGCACTTGCTCATGTATTTGAAAACTTGTCATCAAAATTGACCGCTTGGAGTTTCCGGTCAGCATTGGGCACGTTGTGTTCACAAGCTTGGACAGGTGCCAAAGACAAATCACTCGTCGGCTTATACCTCCAACGCGCGTATGTCTTATTCGGCTTGATCTCTATTCCCTTTGGCTGTATTTGGGCAGGCTCTGGTATCATATTTGACTGGCTGAGGCAGGATCCGGAAATTGCGCGCTCAACACGTGAGTAGTATATATCATCCTGATGCATTACAGGGGTAGCGACTCATTTGAGCTATAATAGAAACATATTTGATGTATCAGATTCCAGGCTTTTTGGCTCATGCCGGCTATGTTTTGCTGATGGCATATCTGCAAGCTCAAGGCGTCATGCGTGCCACAGTGTACGCACTGACACTTGCATTACCCTTCCATATCCTCTTCAATTACGTCTTGGTATACTATGCTGGCTTGGGGATCGTCGGTGTATCCATAGCATTGTCGTTAAACTACATCATGACATGGGGATTCTTGGCTCTCTATTCTGCCAAGATCGACGGATATCAGGGTTGGGGCGGTTGGTCGCGTGAATGCTTCCAGGAGTGGGGCGCTGTGATGCATCTTTTCCTGCCTGCCAGTATTGGTGCCATTTGGACAGCAGTATCCGAGGGTGTCATCACATTCAGCGTCTCGTATCTCGGCAAGGACAATTTGGCTGCCCAATCAATCTTGTTACGAAGCAGTTTGACCATGTTTGCGCCAGGACGTAGTTTAAGAAATTCGCTTGGAAATCGGATCGGAAATGAGCTGGGAGGAGGGTCGCCTAACGATGCCAAGCGTGCATATTTCGTTGGTGCCTTGCTGGCCCTTGTGGTTGGAGTTGCAAGCACTATCTTGTTGATGGCCTGTCGAAAATCGTACCCGTACCTGCTTACCTCGGATGATGAGGTCGCGGCAGCAGTGTCTGAAGTGATCCCAGTGTTTGCAGTGTCTCAAATTATTGATATGTTCAAGTCACTCGGTGGTGGTGTATTGCAAGGGCTCGGAAGGCAGAAGGTGTTGGCCTTAATAGGCTTTTTCTCGGATTTTGTGATCGCAATTCCACTGTGCTACCTATTTACGTTTCATCTAAACGGAGGACTCGTCGGTTTATGGGCAGGCCTCTCGTGTGGATATATGGTTGCTGCCCTTATCCAAATTGGCTATATCTTTCTCAAAATTGATTGGATTGTAGAATCCAAACTTGCTATAAGACGTATACACCAGCACCAACACGCCAAGACTAAAGCAACGACGACAGCACGACAGTAATAACAGCCGCAGCAACCCAAAACTATTAAGAATTCTGTAAAAATATATTTCAAAAACACGAACTCGTCTTATTAAAATAGCTAGTCAGCAATGTAACAATCATTATGAACTCCATTAAATCCTTTTATGGCTATTTACCATTCTTGTGTCAGAAAAACGAATACAAAGGCTCAAATTCTTTGCTTAAGATGTATGTCCACGGAACAAGATTTCGCTGAAAAGGGGCGATCACTTCTACATATTATCATCCCACGCCCAACCTACTCTATCTCCCTTTGTCTTTATACGCGCGTGTTTGTTTGTCTATCAAAAAGACGCAACTTGCTTTTTTTACTATGGTCTTTACAACGTGGCATGGTTTTTGCTCTGCACTGCAATGACTGTTTAACTGTACAGAAATTTGATGATGGGTGAAATCTATTTCTTCTAGTACATTCTTTTTTGTGGTCTTTGTTCATTTTTTGTTGCCAACTTTATATTTACACATATGCATATGTGTAAATTCTATAAAACATCAAGCTAGATACTTAACAGACTTGACGTTCAAGAAGGCATTGCTTTTGACGCCCCACCCCCCCAATGGGAATCCTGTTTTTCTGGACAGGAAAATGCTGATATCAAGGATTCGACCGTATGGAGCGAGCATACGTTGAATGGCCACACTGAGGTCTTCGACAGGTGCATGTGGCAAATTGTACAGGTTGATTGTCAAAAGGCCTGAACCTTTACGAAGTGCTGGCGTACTGATAATACGATAATTCCTTACAATAAGACCCTCGGTCTCGAGGATATTGCGTTGTTGCTCGTTGCGAGGCGTGATTTCGACGACTACTCGAGTGTCCTTGAAACGCAATTCGACGCCCAAGGGTCCATCGCCCGGTAGTTGTTTGGCGACGGCGTCGAGCACGGTAGCTCGATCTTTAGTAAGCGACGTGACTTCATAGAAGAGACTGGGATTAATGGAAGGAAAATAAACATTGGTACGGATACACCGTCCGGAGTTGTTTATCAGCACCCCGGGAGAAAAGATGAATCGACGAATGTTTTTTAAGATAGGTTTCGTCGTCGTAGGGCGATTGCGTCCTGAATTAGACTTGTTATCGTTGCGAGTGTGATTGTTGGAGCGGTGTCATTTTTTTTTGACTCATAGGCCGACGCCAACTGTGATGACAAACCGTCATATTTGTTTAGAACAAGGCATTGCTTCAGCAGCACCTGCCCAAATGCCACAAGAATTGCGTGAGCCAACGGCAAAGGATAGACTTGAGGATGCTCTTGACCAGCTATTACAACAAATAGACGCAATGAGACATCTTATCAGCAAGGCAATCGTTCGAGATGGGCAAGAGGACATAATCAATGACGCGATAGCCCAAATTGAGAAGCTTACGACGGACTTTTCGAAACTCGAAGACCAACTGAAGAATGTCCTTTACATCCCATCCGATTCCGATTTCCATCCCCAGAACAATTCTTAAGCAACCTTCTTTCTCCATTTCATTTTTTTTATCTCTATACACATCATTATACAATATCAGTAAAAATTGTAAAATATCAAAAATCGCAACTTTTGCTTGTACTTACAGTAGCAGTGCATGAACGAGAGATCCAACAAGCTTCCCTTCTATCCAACTACTTCTTAATAGACTCACACAGGATACTCTTGGCACCTCCATATTAAGAGCGGTAATGACACAATATGCACTATAAAACACAATAATTGAAAGATTCCCAAGTATCCACTCGATCTAAACCTACCATTGCATCCCATAGTGTGTCGTATGCCATAGTGCATGCCCTTCAATAGTGACAGATTGGAAAAGATAGTATTGAAAAACAGCAACATGAAAAGAGGAGCGGTATTGATTCATTAATATTTGTACACACCATCCATAAAGAATAAAGGCATAACCATCATTCAACACGCACCCATTGTTTTGAATGCTTTTACTTTGACCATCAGGCCCTGGGTGTGTTTAGCCTGTGCGATCATCGTACGTATCTTTGTGATTTTTCGAGGATAAACGACGATGATACTCTTTGCGATCAAGCGTATTCAATCCTGTTAGACAATGGGTAAACAACAATTACTCTCTCTTATGCTTCGGAAGAGAATCTTTCTTATGGCTGCACCCTGGATGGTATTGTCTGAACGCTCATGATTCTTGTCTTTGGGATTTGTCAAGAACAGAGGATGTTGCTGTCTTTGCGATCAAGCTGACTCGAACGTGTTCATGCTCATGGTTAAACAAGCCACTGCTCTGTGATTTTGAAAAGAACTTCCTATGGTACGCCCTGGGTAGCTCTGGCCTGCGCGGTCATCTTACATATCTTAGGATTTGTAAAGGACAAAGGATGATGCTTCCCTTTGCGATCAAGCTGACTCGACCATGTTGATGTCCATGGTTGAACAAGTCACTACTCTTCTCTAACATAAAGCTTTAGGCCAGCCACAAGCTCGCGAAACTATCATCGCAGCGCCCCTGATATTGTTGAGGAAGAGCGTTTCTTTTTTTCAAAAGTGGTACATAGAACATCTAAATATGGAAACGCGTGTACTTGGCGGTATATACGCAATATAGTAAATGATTGTTTTTGATGAATGGTGGTCATGCATTTCCTGTACAGCATTCTGCTAATAGATGATTTCGGGCGCCGCATGGACCGAATAATACTTTCTGCTCTGCATCAAAGAAATTATATAAGAAGTTTCCCAATTCATAGAGATAGACGGTGTAAAAATCTTGGCTTTCATCATTGTGCAGTACTTATTTCCACAAAGGGTTTGATCTATTATCTCACATACACTACATATTGGAGAGGATCTTATCATAATACCATAACGATTTCTTTTCGTCAACGAAAAGGTACTAAATTCACTTTGATAACAGTGATGTGTTAGTGGTATTGTATATGTTTGTAATAAAGCAAAGGCTTAATTTGCTAATGTAAAACTTGGTATATATGTAAGGAGCCAATATTCTATCTACATATTATATTTACATCTTATAACAAAAAGTTAAACTTGAACGTGTTGCTTTGGTGCGTTTTTATCCAACCATGTCCTAGCCCGTTCCAAATCCTCGTCTTCTAAATCCAATGCCTTGGCACACCAGGCTATGCTATATTTACTCGTCGTTCCTTCTTCCAACATTTCAGCCAAAAACCGTTTACGGGTGATGGATTCGTCTACGCAAAAGTAGAGCTCTGGTTTTGGGTTTGGTAGACTCATTTGACGTTGTAATGATTGGATCATGGGGATCAATGTGCTTGCTGCTGTGTTTGCATCTTGTGGTTTTTGTGTACTTGTAGCGCAATACTTTTTTTTATAAATTTTGCAATTGTGAGGTTGATTATTGCTAAAATCTTTTAATACAGAAAGATTAGCAAAGAAGAAAATATCTTTTACCTTATTGCGACAATAGGGATGATTACATCCCACCGTCAATTGCGAATGAAGCTTGCGTGCCACTCGTTGAATCAGTTTAACGTTTTTTGGATCGTCATCAGTGACCCAAAATGGACCAAAGCAGTATTGACAGAGTCCCAAGCGATTGTTTGCCCGTGGACGGATACAGTTCTGATTACTGCATAGTGGAGGTAGGCGTTGGTTTTGTTTCTGGACTTCGTGAACTTTGGCATGCACTTGGATATCTTTGATGGGTATTTGGCGGGTGCATTTTTGACAGGTGATGGTTCGGCTGCCGCAATAACTTTCATGCGAATGCAAGTTTAGTAGTCGGTCGCGTGGATCAGGTGATGGTACGCCTTGTGGTACCAAGTTCTTTGTTTTAAAAAGAAGGTTTAGCGATTTCTTGATGTAATAACATGGAACGCCTCTCAGCTAATCTCTCCCTCACCACATCCATCATACCAGAAAAAGAAAAAACATACCTGACAGTATCGACACGTAATAAGTCTTTCCGGACATGCTGTCTTTCGATGCTCGGCCAATGCTTCGTAGGAGTCGGTCGTAAATCCGGCGTCACAGATACATGTTTTTGGTGCGTGAAAGTATGCGTCGTGCTTAGGTTGATCTATTTGGAGATTATCACCCATTTTGTCACATTGACTGCAATGCCAATGCTGCTCGAATTCGTGGCTCCCCCTTTGAAACACACGACCACATCCTTGATGAGGACATATAACGTTGTTCCGTAAACAAAATCCTTCGTGTAGCACTTGTGATCGTTCAGGAATCCACGCTTTGCAGTTTTGACATTGTGTATATCCTGGTTCATTTGCATGGAGTTGCTCGTCGGCATCGGCCTCAGTCATTACAGTGTCTCCTCGATCGTCGCCATCTGAAACAGCTTTTGAGGTCCATGATACTGTCGTCGTAGTCTCGGAGTACCCGCGAATACCAATGTAAAATGTTTGCGTTGATGACGATGATGATGCTGGTAATGTGATACGACGATGTGGTTCAGATGTCAGACTTGCCCAATCATGGTTATCCAATGTGGGCCGTCGTTCGGCAGCATCCACCACCAGATCTATAAACATATCGATTGTAACAAAAGAAGAAAGAAAAGCGTTACTCCTATCCATTTAAGAGACATATTATGTACCCGTCAAGAACCCTGCCCCGAGATTTTTACCAGCATCACCCGACGACACCGTCAACTGCACCTCGACCGACTGTTGTTGTTGTAATCCAGGCACCTTTAATTCCCAATATCTATATTGATCCTTTTCAATCGCTATTTCCGGAACATCCTCATTCAACGAAACGACCCGCTTCTGTTGTTTTCCTCCAGTTCCAAGAGTCGTCGTAATCGTCGTTGCTGCTGTCGTTGTTGTTAAGGTCGACTCCAACGGTTCAAGATCCACCTCGAGATCCGTATCAGTAATGCAAACAGCTTCTTCTGGTTTTAGATCAGTTACCAAAAACGGATAACTCTGACTGCCATAACGACACGTCAAGACTTGTCCTTTGGCCATGGTGTTGTAATGTGCACGTAAGTGCGATTCCAATGCTGCTCTGTAATCGCTGATATCGGCTGCGTCGGGTGATAACGGTCGTAATTGGGCCCAAGTGCCCTTGGATAGCGCACAATATTTGATGATCACTCGTTGTCCTGGTTCGAGTTGTAACGACTCAGCCATCCAGTTCGGTATTTGCATCGTGTCGGTCGACATTGACGAGAATTCCTTGACGCCTCCATAGACAATCAAGCGTTTGTTGTGTGGGTGGCGTAGCTCGAACGTTAATGGTGATGGCAGGCTTTCGCTGTTGTTGTTAACTGTAGCTAGTAGATCCTCAAGTGCTGAAGAAGGTAAAATGACCTTGTCGCCGGCATTAAGCGCCTCTGGTGCCTGCTCTGCAAAGTACGCTTTTGTCCAGTTGATGCTCATTAAACTTTGTCGTGATTAAACTCTTGTTGTTGTGGTGGTGGTGACAGAAAGAATACAAGAGGTTGATGCGATGACGAATTATTTTTGATACTGGGGCGGAGTTGTTTGACGCATTGTCGGGTTGTGTCATTTGCCTACTCGAGCAATGCTTTGTCATCAGATTATGCCAAGTTTCTCTATAAGATTTTAAAAGATCTTCCTAGAACAATCATTTACTAATTGAGGTGTAAGAAGGAAAGATAGGTTGTCGCTTTTTTAAATATTGATATTGAAAGAAAATAGCTAATAAATAAGTATAGAGAGAATACAACAAACTTCCAATCATTCATTAGAAGATGGAGGAGGAGGATAAAATGTACAGTAAAGGAAAAGGAATGCAATACAATTACTATTCAAAGACAATACAGTAGGAATAGAAGAAAGAAGCAGTTAGTAAGGAAGGTATACAGTATAAATATATAGTAATATATGTGACAAAGAAGGGGGGAAAGAGTAGCGTGGAAAGGGGAAGGGTGAAATACAAAATATCACTCTTATCGTGTGTGGTGTTGATGAGGACGCTGTTGGCTGTCCGTTGAGTCTCTGCGATTCGCAGAAGACGTCTCATCGCCTTGTGGCGGTGTTGTTGCTGTTGCTGTTGCTGCTGTTGTTGTTTTTTGGGGATCCATATCAATCACATGATCCTGGCTGCTTCGTCGATCCGTTGTTTCACGTTCATTCGAATTATCACTGCTCGAACCAGCGTTTTGGTTGGTTGGTTCCACGTCAGCCAGTGATGTTTCCGGCACAGTATCTTTTGTTGTTGTTGCTGCTTTTTCAAATGTGGAAGATAACGTTGATGATGCAGGCACAGCTGTGGAGGTAGCAGCGGTAGTGACAGCTGGTTGAGGTAATGTTGATGCGGACGATGATGATGATGCTTGGTGACTAGTACTAGCGGTAGTAGTAGCAGTAGCAGGTATTAAAGCGGTTTGCGCTGCTTCCAAACCAGTATCGCCATTCGTCGTTTCTCCTTCCTGTTGTTGATTGCGTAGTTCAGGTGGCAAGCAATCCCATTTACAAATTGGACACACTGTTGATTTTTGCGTGAGCCAAGGATCTAGTAAATTAAAGAAGAAAAGGTACATTTAATTGGTGTGGATCTTCTCACGAATAATGCACTCTTTGGTTGCATATGCTTTTCTCTCCCTTCGGAGGGCCCATCACAGCGGACACACGCTTACCTATACATAGGACACAGAACCCATGGCCACAGCCAAGAATCCGCACTTCATTCTTGTCCTCTTCATAGTCTTCTAGACATATCGCACAATTTGCATTCTTCACTGTCTGGGATGTATACTTGGATATCGGGATGGAATTGACAATGTCGACGGGTAGAGGTTTGGCCTGCAAGCGCATTTGCATATTGTATGCATGAGCGCCCAATTGTGCCTCGTATTCCAGCTGGTCCCGCCTTTGTCGTACACGCCACCATCGCAAAAAGACGACCCCGGCAAACAATGCTATGTATATTGCAAACAATATATATATATATATATCTTTCTCTAATCATCATCCCGGTTTTTCATTTATAAAGAGAAACGTACCAACAAGAAAGATGGCTGCCAAGGCAATAACGTAGGACAGATACCCACGACCAAACGGTGAACTACCACCTTCATCATCATTGTCCGATGTAAGAGGTATGAATATCGGTGCTAGTTGCCAAAACACCCGAGTATCATCACTAGCACTAGTGCTATTGGAAATGAACCGCACAAACTGATTGCCATACGAATGGGGTGCAAAATAAATAGGCAGGGAAGGTTGAGTGCCATTGTTGTTATCGTCGAGATCGTTATCGCTCATGTATAAAGCATTGCGTTCCACCGGAAGCGAGTCTGATGATGCAGTATACACATAGCTTCGCCTTATGTTGTCTTCGCTGTATAGCCTGTATTCTCGTTGTCCATAGGTATTGTTATCGTACAAAAGAATGGCGCTCAAGTTGAGTCCGTGCTTGGAAGAAATGTTGCGTGCGAGTTGCACTTTTTCGGACCACATGCAGTTGCCGCGTTGGATAAGCGCTACTGTCGGTGTCTGTGGGATCGGTCCGTATTGCATATTGTTTCCGTTTAACTGTTGGAGCGTGTCAAAGGTGGTATTCGACGATATGCAGCAGTCTGAATAATCAAATACCAAGCGCTGGGCAAGAAAAAAAAAACATAAATAATTATCATTAGTATTCACTGTTGACTATAAAGAATAGAATGAGAAATTATACCCGAATTGAACCGCCCGAATCAGTTCCAACATGAATGGACTGAAAAGCTTGCGAAATGGCAATCCACGTATTGCGATCGTCTTCGGCCAAGGCATTCGTTGCATTGTATGTTCTCGGGGCTTGCCAGAATGCTGGATTGCTGACGGACTGGCTGTGCACTTGTTTTGGGAACCATACTAAAAATAATGCAGAGTAGATCAAGAGCAAGAAGAAACCCCCTTCTCTTCTAGGCAATTGTATGGACAGCATGAAGAAATAACCGGCGGACGGAAGGACGTTGCTGCTGGGGAGGTTGGGGGCGGGCGGGCGGATATTGTGTACAAGTAGGGAAAATTAAACTACAAAGCGAGTTGATGGGAAAAAGGGATAAAAAATGTTTCAAAGCGGCGAGGCGGTTGAGTCCATTATGGACTGGAATATATATAAATCTCTGTAATAATAGCGTAGTACTACGAGCAAAGATACTTTTTTTTTCACGGTTTACGTTACACGGAACGCGGTTGCCAAGGTCCGGAAGCAAACGGTTCAACCATGCTCCGAACAAGAGGGGCGGATAATTACCCCGCCCAAGCATCTTCTTCACGGATTTCATCCCTCAGCCAAAAGACAGTAAATTGATCTACGTACGGTGCTATGCATCCTCGGCTCTTATTTCACACGTGGTGCCCCTTTTCTGATTCTTTGTTAGCGGTAATTCAAAAGACAGTTTGTTGGTAAGGGTACTACTACCTACTACTACACTGCTACTACTGATCGTGGGTCCACCCTTTCACATTCAGTAACTACCAGCTAATATACAGATATAAAATAGCATTGTGTTGGTGTTTGCTAAGGAACAGGGCTCTTTCACTACATCACTGTACAAGCCCCATAACCACCCATATAGAAATTGTGTATTCAAGAGTTCATCATGCCGTTTTCACTGCAACAGTTGCCAAAAGCCGCTTTCAAGAATCAAAGGTACTTTAATGGGAATACTCGACGATCTTTTATGGCAATACTCAAACAAAGAAGTACATTCACTCTTCTTTTCATATTTCATATCAGAGAAAGAAATGGCCTATACTACATATGATATGTGATATTTTATACTGTTTTCATGCACTAATGTGTATTAACCTTCCTTTCGTTAACGCCAAATTAACAAGTCTACTGCATATATAATCATCCTCTATTTTGTGCACAAGCAAGAAGTCCACTGTGTCGATTGGAATAATACACTCTGACGAGCTATAGATTTAGCAAGTTGGGCTGGTTATCATGGCCAGCGTTTGTTCTTGGCGGCTGATGGTCCTGATGGTCTGGTCTAGATTAGTATTGTAGCAAATGGAGCTCAAGAGAGAGAGAGACAAGATAGGAGATCTAGGGGACTCAGCAGAAACGGGACAGTAGACAAATATTGTAGAATACGACAATTGGCAGTATTGAAGACTCTCTTGATCATGGCCATTCGAGTCGCAGGCCATCTCCTTTGGCGTCAAGCGCTCTCCCATTTTCGTTTTGGAAGGGGTGTGTTAGCCGACTAAGATACCCCATGTGCCACTTTTAAAGAAAAGTTGCTCCTCAAAATCACGGGTGCTGCTGCGAAACTATAGTAATGCGATATATAATGGTTGCCCTAGCTTTTTATATCATAGAGAAACTTTTTTGTTGCGTATTTTGCATGACAAAACCTATTGTTGTATGATCTTCACTGCTAGCATGCTTAAAAGATTTAGGTCAAGTAATGAAATGTGTGTAAGAGGATTTTGACACTTTAAAAATCATTATATCATATTTAAGAAAGATGAGCACGACAAAGTTTGAAACGCACAAAACATTTCATTTTTGCATTTCATCTATAGCTACTACTATCACTACTGGCATGCATACACATCATCCACCGCGAATTTCATGCATTCTTTACCGTTGCACCAACGCACCGGACCTTCGAAGTTACATGTCATATCATAGCAAGAGCCTTCGTCAGCAGCAGAAACCAGCACGAAAATCAGCGTCGAGGCCCAAACCTCGGAAAGGAAAAGGCTTTGGAAGTGAACAATTTGCCATGTTCGTCCGCTTTACTATTAGTGTTTACGGGTCAATCGTTAGGTGTAGTTAGATTTAAGAATAGATAGCTTAACGTGAAGCGCACGGATCTACTACTGGATCAACCGTCGTGCATCTACAGAGTAGATAGAATTGTATCCATCCGCTGAAGTATGTTTTCCTTTCATAAATTTCACCTCTCTACTGCCTAGCGAGAAATATACTTTCGAACAGAAGCGATTCTATACAACAACTGCATATTATTGTTCTAAACCAATTTTATTTTTTTTTAAGATTGAAACGAAATCCAGATGGCTTTTTTTGCGGCAGTCCAAAAGACAGTTTGGTAGGCATCTTTTCCTGTAGTGTACTACTACTCGTCGTCGTCGCTTCCACCTTGTTACCGTTGTTGTTGTTGTTATTACTATTCGCGATAGTAGGGTCATTCGCAGTAGTAGTAATAGTAGTTGCAGGGACAGCAGCAGCCGGTGCCATTGCCCATCCACCACCACCACCACTATTACTAGTACTAGTAGCGGTACTACTTTTACTTTGTATTGCTGCTGCTGATGGTGCTGGTGCTGATGTCCATCCTCCTCCTCCTTTGCTACTATTACTACTGCTACTAGTATTGCTGGTTGGCAAGCCTGGTGCTGCTGGTCCTGGCACGGGTGTAGGAACGCCCTGTTGTTGTTGTTGAGCATTACCAGCCTTTTTCAACATGGCTTCTTGCATTCGTCTCAATTCACGCTCCTCCCGTTTCTTTTCCCGTTCGCGCTGTTTGTCTTTGGCCGACTGGGCAAATCCAGACTTGCGTGATTGTTCTTTCATGTCTTTGAAACGCTATGTAAAATATATAAAACGTTGTCGTCATTAGAACTTTGATCCGTCGATGAATGCAAGCCCAAGATGAAGGACAAGACAGAAAGGGCTTACCTTTTTATGGTGATGATCATAACTCTGCAAGTGCTGTTCGTATTCCGCCACTTTGTTGTATTGTTTGTCGCATATTTCACAATAGAATGCACGCTTTACTTCACGCAATTCTTCCTTGATCATTTCTTGTTCTTTCGCTTTTGTTTCTCGTAATGCCCGTTCTTCCGTTGTCTCTTCTAATTGTCTTTCACTGTCCAGCGTTTTGCGCTTGGCCGTGGATGATGCGTGATACGCTGCCTCTTCTTCTGCTTTGCCGACGCCTAATGCATCTTCCTTAATGTCGATAGGGATTGGATCAACACGTCCTAACGTTTTTTCCATACAACGATTTCTTTAGTGTATAAGCAATCTAGCTTTTTTTGTTTAGTTAAGATTCACAAGCTACAAACTACTTTACTAACCTTGCCCATGAGAGCCTAGACCTTGACCTGCCTTCCATCCCAATTTTTGCAAGAGACGATATCCCATATTGGTTTCAGGTATATGCAAGTGCACGTTTGCTTGCTCCATGGCATCATAATCAGCATAGCCAATTGGTTGTCCATGGCGAGGCAAAGAGAATGGCTCTTCGTCAAGGATCTCTTCCTCTTCTTTTTCTTGATGATTGTCACTCAAATGTTCTATTGCAGTTCGCTGTAGAGTCGAGCAAAAAAAAAAAAAAAGAAGAGATATATACGGGTAGAAGGAGCGACACAAACTCTTTTGGAAACTCAAAACGATGCAAAAAAGAAAGAAACGCAGCAAAGAGTTTCTGTTATTTTTTTTTGTAGCCGAGTTTGTTACATTGCATCAAAGACAAAATAACAGCACTCTTGCTTTTTTTTCTTTCTCTTTTCATAAAATAATTAAGGTGAGATGGAAGAATTTAGAGGACTCACCTTGGCAGGTTCCATAATTTTAAAAAGTAAAGTTAAGCAAGAAAGGGGAGGGGAAAGAAAGAGAACGGCTGAGCTCCTCTTGAAAAAACCTCTGGGTGGGTTGTGCGTCACGGCATACACGTAGCATGCATGACATGTACGTATGCAACTTTGTAGACATAGTTGCCCGATACAACAACACATATCACTGCCTTCGTTTCTATATTATGTAGAGCTTCTCCGTTTTTCCTTGCAGAAGCTTTTTGTGAATAGCCAAGGAAAATAGCTCTATGACTATGGAAAAGAACAACTCTGCTGTCTATAAAATAAAAACAAAACAAAAAAACGACGCGCGCAACTTTCTTGTTCTTCTTTGAAAAATATAATGACTTTGTTACAGCAAAAAACAGCACTCATTACCGGTGCTACACGGGGCATTGGTTTCGCCATTGCAAACGCGTTTGCCAAACATGGCGCCAACACATTACTCATCGGCAGAGATGCGCAACGTGTTGACATTGCAGAACGTGTTTTTCGCGAAAAGTTTCAAGACACAAAGCATCAGGGCGTGGTCCTCGACGTGGGGAATAAGGACAACATTAATGATACGTTGAAGGTACCTGACACTTGGTCTCTCTTTAACTGTAGAAGTAAAGATACTCTAATGTACATATTTGATGATAATGTAGAAACTCGTGAAAGAAAACAAGATTGATATCCTTGTCAATGCAGCAGGTGTATCGCGTGACGGCCTGCTGGTGAAAATGAAAGATGAGGACCTGAACGAAACAATGGCAGTCAATCTGTTGGGTGCCATGCGTATATCTCAGATTATATCCAGATCCATGATTCAAAAACGTCAAGGTACATGTATTACATGGAGTTGCACGACTTTATAACTAACCATCCCTTTTTCCATTGTGCCCAATTCTAAAAAGGCGGGTGCATTATTAATGTATCTAGCATCGTAGGAGTGTATGGAAACGTTGGACAAACTGTATACAGTGCATCCAAAGCGGGTCTGATCGGTAACGTCACTTTGTCTCCTTGCAGAAACTTTCAAAAGACACATCTCTTCCCAACAGATTGGTTTAATACGTTTATTTTTTTTAAGGATTCACCAAGTCATTAGCAAAGGAAGTGGGTCCTGCGCAGATAAGAGTCAATGCCATCGCCCCGGGGTATATAGAAACGGACATGACAGCAGGTAATATGAAGCAATGGAGCCATCGATCAGAACCTGCTAAACATCAATTTGCCTTAATTTTCGCTTATTTAGATATTTTGAAATCAGAGGCATCAAAAGCCAAGTTAATCGAAGCAATACCATTACGCAGACTAGGTCATGTAGATGATGTAGCAGAAGCTGCCCTGTTTCTTGCTTGTTCTCAATACATGCATGGCTCGGTATGTGTTCTCAACTTGCACTCTAGCGATTAGAATAGGTTACTTTATCGACTGACAACTGTTATTGTTTTCTGATTCTAGGTGCTGAACCTGGATGGCGGATTGACACTGTAGTGTACCACTCTGTCAATATCTCACACTATCCACGCACAAATAAACAATCAAGTGCTAGCTATTCATTATCATCGTTTATCTGCCGATAACTTTTTCTTTTGAGTCTTGATTTTCTTTTGTGTGTGTGTGTTTTGGGTATGCTCAATGTTGACATGTACCTACAGGATGGAAGCCCTAGAGTCTGTATTGTTTCACAAAAACGTTCATTCCTTAATCGCAGTCTGTAAAAGCTTGGGTAACATGACACAAAAGCTTAAACGTCTCTCGGAAGTGTAAAACGAACCCAGCGGAGTAGAAGGATATAATGTAAACACATTAGGGTCAAAACACATCATCATCCGTGGAGAAGACATGTTCGAGTAAGAGACTTATTCCTTTACTGTGATAAATTAGCAGGCAGGAAGAAGGTAATGTGCTTCTTATCGGGATATTATCGAGTCCGTTTTTCGTTACACAACTATCTGCTAAACGGACAATGAATATGGTTCCGTTACAAATAGAGTGATCCGTTGACCTTTTTTTTTATTCTTTGAGCAAAGAGAGAACATCTTGCGATCGCTAGATAAGTAATATGGCTCAGCAACTGCTATATATAACAAATGATATGAACCTCCTCGAGTAATAGATAGTTTGTAAACGCCACTGCTGTTCGTCTGTGTAAAGAAGAAACCAATGGCACACCGGAAGTACTTGCAGCAGCAGGTGTAGTAGTGTGTCTTATGCATGGACTTTTGGCTTTTTTTGTTGTCGTCGACTGGCTTGAGCCAATCTCGGTAATATGCGCGGCAATTGGCATTTCATTAAGTGTGGCGCATGCTTTGCTGTGTTGTCGCTTTCGATGGCGTTGAAAATGACCTCATCTACTATAACTAAATATAACGTCGATTAATCAACAACAACAACAACAACAATGATAATAATACCGAACAGCAATAACTTACCAAAGCCATACAAGGAACAGCTCTTTTGCTCCAAGCAACCTGTTTCTACCCGGCAAAGAATTCAACCGTCAGTCGATGTCGTTCGTCCTAGTCGCTATTCACAGCATAGTTTTTCGCCAAGCTCCCCAAAGACGACCGAAAAAGCTCAGCGGGGGCCAAGCTACTTTTTTTTTCATTTCCGCCCCCGTTCTCTCTTCTCCCAAAGAAACCGCCCCTCCTCTTTAACCCTTATTGAAACTGACGCGCGGATTACCTTATTTTCTTTTCTTCCCTTTCTTTTTTTTTTTCTTTTGGATTGACCCTAAAAAAACGAGCAATTCTTTTTTTTAATATTCGGCGCAAAGAATCGTTTTCATGGCGCATAACCCCAACAACCCGTTTGATGATCCGGGTAGTAGAAATGAAATGCCCGAGTCACTAGGTGGTAATGGAGGCAATGGACAGCAACAACCATCGATCGCTTATGGAGGTGAAGATGCCACGATAAATCCATTCGCAGCTTCACCCACCCATTATCCACCTTCACAACAACACCAACAGCAACAACAACAACCTCCTCCTCCCTCTTCTTCGACAACACAACACTATGGTGGTGCCGACCTTATAGATCTTTTACCAAACCAGGGCAACAGCACTGCTCCTATCGACACTTCTTACCCTCCACCATTACACACGAGTCAACAACCACAACAGTTTTCGCCACCGGGAGGAGGTCCTTCCTATACTCCAGGAGCACCCCTTGGCCGGGTCGACACATTTAATACCGACACAGGTAAAATTCAATTTGGTTGGCAGAAATAATATAGAAGCGCGTATTTTGTAGGAAAAAAGAAGGTGTCTTTTGTTTCTCACTCATATACTCATGGGCTTCTACGCATATTTGTGTTTGTGTGTGTGTGAACATGCTAAACAGCTTCTTTGTACGACGATTCGACACCTATGAATGACGACGACGACGATTTACGACTGTTATCGCACCAAGGACCGATTGCAGGTGCACGTTCACAACAATCGGATGGCAGCAGCGGCGGCGGAGGAGGAGGAGGAGGAATTCCACTTCGGTCTCAAGGTTCAACAGTTGGAGGGACACAAAGAAATAGCCAAGGAGGAGGAGGACGACGACGACAACAGCAAAGAAAAAGAAAGGCAGGTCCAGGATTGGTAACATCCGTCAAAGACTTTGTCAATGGATTATTGGGACGACCCGGCTCGGCATCGGGTACGGCTGGTGAAGGCGGCGAACGTATCATCCACCTCAACAATCCAGACTTGAACGACGATCAACGGTTCCTGCACAACAGAATCTTTACTGCGAAATACACCGCCATTACCTTTTTGCCAAGATTCTTGTATGAAGAATTTTCGAAATATGCCAATCTGTTCTTTTTGTTCATTTCTGGTATTCAGGTAAAAAGAAATAGGCGGTTTTCCCAAGGTTTATCTCACACTCACGGTCCATTTCTTGGGGGGGATTGTTTATTAGCAAATTCCGGATATTTCACCCACGTCGCGTTGGACCACGTTGGTACCATTGTGTATTGTCTTGTTCATTACTGCTCTCAAGGAAATTGCAGAGGATTGGGTATGTCTTATAAAGTGGGAATGGGATCGGGCTGAGTTTATTCTTCTCTTTGAAGGGACAAAACAGAGTGAAGGAGAGGGCTTTATCCTCTCACACAATCAATGTATATAACATAGGGTGTGCACCGTTCAGACGCAGAGCTCAATGCCAGAAAATGCAAAGTACTCGTTGGAACGGAATTTGTCGAGAAATCTTGGCGGGATGTCAAAGTCGGTGATGTGCTCCGTATTGAAAGTGGAGAAAACTTCCCCGCTGATTTGGTCTTGGTCAGCAGTTCAGAACCGGAAGGTCTTTGCTATGTGGAAACCAGTAATTTGGATGGGTAAGTCTTTTTTAGGAGGGGAGAGAGGGAGAGGATGACAGTAGGGTTGGGAGATAACCAAGAAAAATATTGCTGCTTCTGTCTATGTATTATATAGTGAAGTCAATTTGAAGATCAAACAAGCGTTGACCCAGACAAGTAATATCCTCGATCCTATCGAAATGTCCAGGGTGCAGGGTGTCATCAAATGCGAACAACCAAACAATCGTCTGTACAACTATGATGGTGTCTTGTCAGTGTCCTCCATGGATGAAGTTGGAAAAACACGGGATTTCGCATTGGATCCTACCCAATTGTTGCTACGTGGCGCTCAGCTCCGAAACACATCGTGGATTTATGGCATTGTTGTATTCACGGGTCACGAGACCAAACTCATGTTGAATTCCAGGTATCTTGCTTTGTTTGGGTCTACACGTGGGACAGTAACAGTACCAGTGAGCACAACACAAAATAACACTGAATCTTTCCTATAACTTTTAGCAAAAAACCATCGAAAATGTCCAATGTCACCCACATCACCAATCGAAACATTCTGTATCTGTTTGCCATTCTGGTATTGATGAGCATTGCCTGTTCCTGTGGTGGTCTTGGATTTGCTATCAATCGAAGTCATGAAATGGGCTATCTTCCATTCGAAGATCAAAATCGAGCTGCCGAGTTTGGCTATGATATTTTGACGTTTTTGATTCTGTTTAACAGTTTCATCCCAATCAGGTTAGTCTCTCTCTCCACCCCCCCCCCTCTTTTCTCGGTAATGTTTATTGACACTCTTCCAATTCCCCCCCCCTCCTTTTTTTTGTGTTAGTTTGATGGTCACTATGGAAATTGTTAAATATGTTCAATCACTCTTGATTGAAGCTGATTTGGACATGTATTATGAAAAGACGGATACGCATGCCGTTGCCCGTAGTAGCAGTTTGATTGAGGAACTTGGTCAGGTACGGCAAAACATCAACATATTCGAATGTTGGTGGGGGGGAGGGAAGCGCAGTAAGAGAAACGGAGAAGATGAAAATTGGAGATGGCTCATCAATGAAAGTTATTGTAGGTCAAGTTTGTATTCTCGGACAAGACAGGGACATTGACTTGCAATGAGATGCAATACCGACAAGCATCCATTGCTGGCTTATCGTATGCAGACAAGGTTGATTCGGACAAACAAGCAAGAGATGGATCAGACGACCCAACATTGCAGTACACATTCAATCAGTTGCAAGAACATCTAAAGAAGCACCCGACAGCCAATGTTATTAACGAGTTTTTGATCTTATTGGCTTGTTGTCATACTGTTATTCCTGAAAAACCCAATGGTGATGATGATATTGTTTATCAAGCTTCTTCTCCTGACGAAGGTGCTCTTGTCAAGGGCGCAAGTACTCTTGGTTACACTTTTCACGTAAGTTTTTTTTTTTTGTTTTTAAAGCAAACAGTGTCCATGTTATGCTAAAAGAAAAATTCCAATGGATTATCTTTTAGACACGTCGACCCAATTCAATCACTTGCAATATCCGTGGCCAAGATATGGAATTCCAAGTTTTGAATATTTGTGAATTTAACTCTACCCGTAAGCGTATGTCCGCCATTATCCGTGGGCCAGATGGCAAGATCAAGCTGTATTGTAAAGGTGCCGACACTGTCATTTTGGAACGTTTGGCCGAAAACAACCCCTTTATTGAACCCACTCTGGTTCATCTGGAGGTATGAGAAGACCCTTTCATATTCGTAGAGAGTAGAGGAGAAGAAAAGTGTATATACTCAAAGAAGCTGTATGTGGCGATGATTAGGAATTCGCTTCCGAAGGTCTTCGTACATTGTGTATTGCCATGCGCGAGATTCCCGAGGAAGAATATACACGCTGGTCTCAGATTTTCGACAAGGCTTCAACCACGTTGGTGAACCGTTCAGAAGAATTGGACAAGGCTGCGGAAATGATTGAACAGAATTTGTTTTTGTTGGGTGCTACGGCTATTGAAGACAAGTTGCAGGAGGGTGTGCCAGATACCATCTATTCGCTGCAAGAAGCCGGTATCAAGGTCTGGGTCTTGACGGGTGATCGACAAGAAACGGCTATCAATATTGGCTACTCTTGCAAACTGTTGAACGAAGAGATGAGTTTGATTGTTTGTAATGAGGACAATCACTGGGACACAAAGAACTTTTTGGAAAAGAAGTTAAAAGAGATCAATGACGTGCTGAATCGTGGTGATGAACTCGAGGTATGGAATCAAGAAAAGAGATCGGGGTATCCTCTGTGTGTGTCTCTGTGTCAGGCGTTTATAGAACAAGGAGGGATACTCAAAAGGGATTATATGCTCTATCATAGCCCTTGGCATTGATTATCGATGGTCGAGCACTGACGTTTGCGCTGGAAAAAGACATTGAAAAGATCATGTTTGATTTATCCGTCATGTGTAAAGCCGTGATCTGTTGTCGTGTGTCCCCGCTTCAAAAGGCCCTTGTTGTCAAACTTGTGAAGAAATACGACAAGTCGATTCTGTTGGCCATTGGTGACGGTGCCAACGACGTATCGATGATCCAAGCTGCTCATGTCGGTGTCGGCATCAGTGGTGTCGAAGGCTTACAAGCTGCTCGAAGTGCTGATTTTGCTATTGGGCAATTCCGCTTCTTGAAGAAACTACTGCTCGTCCATGGTTCTTGGGCATACCAGCGTCTCAGCAAGATGATCTTTTATTACTTTTACAAGAACATTGCTCTTTATTTGACACAGTTCTGGGTAAGGTTTCTTTTCTTATAACCCATGGCTGTTTTATTCTATTGAAAAAGGTGGGTTTGGGATACTGACGATGGGGATGTGCGTTTATATTTTGTAGTATGCATTCTATAACGGCTTTTCCGGAACAACCTTTTATGAATCGTGGACCATGTCTTGCTTCAATGTCATTTTTACGTTTTTGCCTCCTCTGGTGATTGGTATCTTTGACCAGTTTGTGTCTGCACGATTGTTGGACAAGTACCCACAAATGTACATGTTGGGTCAAAGCAACGAATTTTTCAACCAACGAAGATTCTGGGGTTGGTTTGCCAATGCCGTATACCATTCTCTTGTAAGTGTATACACGTACATATCTAGAAAACGCGCAAAAGAACTCTTCTTTCTACCAAGTCAGTACTGACTCTGCTGTGTTATAAGATCCTCTTCTTCCTTGGTGTTGCCGCATTCAGTGAGGATGGTGTCTTTGCTAACGGTCTGGTTGGCGGCCAATGGTGGGCTGGCACGGCAGTGTTCACTGCCGTCCTTGGCTGTATCTTGTGGAAGGCTGCATTGATTACAGAGTAAGTTCTCCTTTCGTTTCTTTGTAACGATAGCCGTTGTATAACTCAAATGCCATGATTTCTTCACTAGCACATGGACCAAATATGCAGTGATTTCACTTGTGGGCTCCATGGCGGCATGGTACATTTTCTTGCCTGTCGTATCTTACATTGGTCCTGCCATCTCCAGCGGTGTGTTTCCCGAATACAAGGGAATGGTTCCTATGCTGTGGGGCAACGTCAACTTTTGGATGTTTATCATTCTGGTACCACTTATTTGTAACCTACGTGATTTCTTGTGGAAATAGTAAGTTCAACATAAATTTAGTGCGTTAGGTTACGGAATTCAAACTAACCACACTAAAACTAGTATCAAACGCATGTATCGTCCATTGCCATATCATTTCGTCCAAGAGATCCAGAAATACAACCTGCCCGATTATCGACCTCGCATGGATCGGTTCCGTCAAGCTGTCAACAAGGTTCGAAGGATACAACGGTTGAAGAGAAACCGTGGTTATGCGTTTTCTCAAAACGACAGCGATCAAAACAAAATCATCCGTGCTTACGATACGACGGTGCAAAAACCTCGAGGCTAATAGCTTACTGTCACTCCACTCTGTTTCTTTATTTTGTTTTCTACTTTTTAACTTGTTTGTTGTTGCTGGGTTTCTCTACTCTATTCCTCTTTTGTCTATATACACATATTCATCTATTTACTATTTCTTTTTTCCTTCTCTTTCTCTCTCTTTATTCCGCGATAACTCTATACCATGTATACTTTTTGCACCGCACCACACACCATACTCACACCATACTCACACACTCACACACTCAAAAGCCCAAGAGGGATGGAACCATAAAACGATCAAATACAAAGGAATTATCTCTTTCTCTCTCTCTCTCTCTCTCTCTCTCTCTTTCTTGTTTGTAATATGTAAATCGTATACAATGCTTTGTGTTTTTATATCAGAATAAACATCTTTTTCTCACAATACAGTGGTAGCAAACCAGTTTTGTTGGTTGAACATAGAAATGCATGGAACCCAGAGATGCTATCAAATCCTTTTTGTTTTACTGTGATCGCCGAATGAATATTGGGGAATTATTTGCTGTTCGTGTTGCACAGACTTGATAGCTGAATATGTCCGGGCATGGCCTAAAAAGGAATTCGCAGTCTTACCCGGAACGTCGGAGACGGACAATGCAGAGAAAAAACAAAAAACCAAGTCGTTCAGGCTTCTCTCACTCTACTCTCACATTTTACTTTTAAAATGCAAGACTCGACAAAGGAATCCATCTGGAAGGTTCGTACTCATTTTACTTGATAGCTATCATTTAGAAAAACCGCAGCGTGTTAACATGTGTGTGAATTATAGGTTATCGATTTCTCCAAGCAGATCTTGCACTGGGGTTTTGTTCCCTTTGTCATTTACCTCGGCATGACCCGTAGCAACCCCAGACCTTCTTTGCTCAAGTAAGTTCTTTTCTCTCTTTGGTAGAGGAGAGAGGTCAAGGCAGCAGGGTAATAATAATAATAATAACAGCTGTACTAAATAAACGCGTTTATTGTTATATAGGCTCATTAGCCCTCTTGCTTAAAGAAAGAGAGCCTTTAAAAAAAAAAAAACAGTTGTACAAAGTTTTTTTCTTCTTTACCGCACACACACACACACACACACAGCCGTTCTGTTATATACATATGATAATATACACCTCCCTCGTCTCCCACCAAAAAGTTAACAACAACAACAAAACATGCCACAAGGAAATAAATCAATTGCAAAACCGCTTGCGATTCTTTTATATTTATTCTCTGGTTTTGCCTTTAAAAGTTGATTCTGCAAAAACTGACATGCTGGTTCAGAAGTTCGTCTGCGTTCGAGGTCAATGACGATAATGATCCGGAATAGGAAACAGGACCAATACTACTATTACTACTACCATCAGAAGCAGCAGCAGTACCGCCAACGATACCGTCTGGTTGTTGCTGTTGTTGTTTTAGAAAAGAGGCTTCCAACGACACGTACTTGAGCTTCTTGATCCCTCCAACTACTCCTGGACCACATACGAAATCCAACATAACAAATCGTTTCATCTTGTGCTGCACTTCCAGAATTGTTTCTTGTATCGCCAGTTGCGTATCCTCATCTACCTCCATCTTTGTCTGTGTAGGCGCAAGTGATGATGCTGATAATAATGTTTCTGTGTTATTGTTGTACCATCCCACCAGAGTCAGGTATTCGAGGTTGCCAACGCATGGTTTGATACATTCTCGCCACACCCGTGCTGTGTACGCATTACATCGACCCAGACGGAGCGTCTTGAGGTTCGTGAGCGGGTGTAAAAATTGGTATTTATCGACGAGCGTATCTTCCATCCATCGTCGTCGGTAGAGTACTGTAGCTGTCGGGCCTTCTTCTTCATCATCATCATCATCATCTCGTCCATGTTGTTGTTGTTGCTGCTGAGTACCGGTACTATGACTGCTGCTGCTGCCATCGTTACTGATTCGTGGTTGTTGTGGATCACGAGGCAAAAGTAAGGACATCTCTTCTGGATCGTATACGTTGGACAGACGCAATTCTTGCAAACTCGTGGGTAATACTTTACGAACGCGTCGACGGCTGATGGTGAATGCATGATCGGTGTATTCGCATGGTTCTCGGAACCGCAAGTCGAGAACGCGCAACCGATCCAAGCCAGAAAATAAACCAAGCATCATTTTGCCACTGGTGCCACGCGTTCGGATGATGTCGCACCGCAGTACTTCCAGTAACGGCGTTTGGGTGATCATTTCAATCATGTCTTGGAAATACAATTTGGTCATTACAAGTTCCGTCACGTTTGTGAATAATCGTGCCTTGATGCGTAATGGTGTGGTTGTAATAAAATCATTCTTGGCGCTGCCAAACATGTGGACCGTGCGTGTGTTTAAGAGTTTTTTACGAGCCAGATGTTTAGGGTTTTTGTCGATCAAGCAGAGCATATCTACAAATGATTCCCATTCTTCCCTCACGTTTCGCCACTATTACAACGAAAAAGTTAAACGCGTCTTTCATTAGACCCCAGGAAAACATTTAGATTCCCTCCCCTTTGTTGTTATTGTTAACAGTATTACCGAGAAGGGATCTAATATGATTTCACGCCATTGACGACACACGCTTGCTAGTATGCATAACGTCTCTATGTTTCCGCAATGTCGAAATATTTGATATAAGCAATCGGTGTTGAGACTGCTGATAGGGCTCGTATCCGACCGCGTCGCTAGGATATCAGCAGTGTAATGTCGTTTCGATCGCTTTAACGTCGCTGGTGGCGTTGATGATGACCGTTTTGATCGCTGTTTCCCCCTCCCCCAAGAAAAAAGGACATATTAGTGAGAGTGTGTATGAGGTAGAAAGTGATGTGAATGGATGCGGTACCTCGGTCAAAGTTGTTGCTGTTAAACTAATAGATTGATTGCGTGTAGTGTTGCTACGTTGTAAAACAGCTTCTGTGTATTTATCGTTACGTTCTCGGTTGGTCATTACAATCAACCGCGGATCTAGGTTTTTGGATTGTTTTATGTGTGTTTCTCGACTTTGTAATGGTCGATTGGTGTCAATAGATGCTAAAGAGCGTCGTGGACAGCTGTCTTTTGAACGATTTATAGTGTTTCGTCGATCGGCGTCTTTTACAGCAGCACGAGGGTTCCGTCGATCTGCGTCTTTTGAAGTAAGAGGATCTCGTCGATCGGTGTTTTTTGATGGAAGACTGGTTCGTTTTCGATTGGGGTCTTTTGTTGCAAGCCGACTTTTTCGATTGGTGTCTCTTGATGCGAGAGGGATGCGTCGATTGGCGTCTTTTGCTGCAAGAGGACTTTGTAGCGAAAATGGTTTCTCCATATTCTCTCTTTCTCTTTTAAATTCTCTTTTCCCTCTTTTTTTAACTTTCTGTAGAAAATGCGTATATGTGTTATAAGAATAATAGCAAGGTACACGAACTTACACGCGATTCGGGGCAAGTAAAAAAAACACCTGCAAATGCCCCGTTTCAACTCAGCATAAAAGTCTTAAGTTGAGATGACACATTATCTCCATAAACGGTTATTGTAGTTTTATAAAAGCTATCATGCTTAAAGTAAGTTTGATAGCTCTATACCAGCCATACAATCACGATGGTTTACCTGGGCTCTTTTCTTAAAACATGTTAGCATAGAAAAACGACGCATGACCCAACATGAAGCTCCGTTGTGATAGAAAAGCTTGAGTATTAAGTTGTACCATTGCAATAGTAATCGTGTAAAGGACCACAGCCATTTCAAACAATATCCCACACGAGTACAAGTATTCCGAGACGATTTCACTTCAAGATATGCACAGTCCACCCTTATCTTTTATCATTCATGAAGAGCATTCTATAAGATGTATAATACACGCGCGACACGATTGAGCCCTTTTCTTTTGCTACACAGCTGTCCATCCATCCTGCCTTCTCCTTGGATCTTGTCGCTTATGCTTTGCGGCGGGTGGGTGTGTATAGGTCGTGACGTGTGCGCGGATATGAAAAAAAAATGGTAATATGAAACGCGCCATTTGAGTGTATTGTGTTTTTAGATAAGGAAGGGGCCCGTCCTTTGTCGAGGTATAATATATATATATATAAGTCTTTCGTTGCAAGTGGTAGCTCCTGTCCCTAGATTCACGCAATGTACTGTTCCTGATTGCAGTTGGGAATCCAGACGATATAGTTTGAACAGGGCATACGACCGCTTGACGAAACTTGATAGCTGAGATAGACGCAGGTGACACACGCTGCTATCAGTAACGCAAAGATAATGTGTCGAGAGCGAGTCCGTCGTCGTAGTTCATCATGATAGCGTCGTACTGAACTGTACTGTTCCTCGTCGCCGATGTCCAAGTATGGCATATTATTTGTGGGAGAACAAGGAAGCGAGGAGGTGTTAGCGTTGTATTGTAAGAAAACTATAGAAAGAAAGAAAGAAGAGAAGAAAAAAGAAAAGCTTATACGTCATTATTTGTTTGTGAGGTTCGTTGCTCATGTGTTTGCAAAGTGTATATAGCACACATATTACTCACACACGCATATTGATCAAAACAGTACGCATTGCATACCGCAACAGTTTGTGTTACGTCTTCTGGTGGTTTGATACGCTCAAAGCACATTTACTTTGCGTTTGATTGCAGTAAGAAAAAACAATCACATCATGTCAATTCACTCTTTCCCATATGTATGTTGTATCAAGTATCAGCATGATCAGCTTGGTATGTGTACTATGTTCAGTTTAGTTTTAGCGGCTATTGTTCTATTTTGAATCCACGTGGACGCAAAGCATTGTTAAAGGATAGCCGGGATCAAAATCACCATCGATGCGTTATAGATCGAGATTCAATGGTACCAAGCGTTAGACGCATATATGCTAATCTGGATATACTATTTCTATGGGAGACTGGAAGCTCTTTTGCCACAACCCTTGGCGAGTTTTATGAGTATGCACCCCACTCACACCATCCTTGATGTCCAATGACTTTGTTACTGGTTAATGGGTTTTATGTGACACGAAGAAAATTACCCGCTTTCGCCCAACACATATTTGCAAAATGGACGCGAGAGGACCTATCTTATTTCTTGTTAGACAGCAGCCTTGATAGAATCAAAATCATAAAGGTCACGGTGGCGGCGAGCAGGAATGGATGTAGTGAAATAATGATTTAAAATAAAATAAATAGAGGAGGGTAGAAGAAAACAATAGTAGAAATGACAAGCGTATACGACATAGTTTCTGTGTACACACTACGGTACTCTAATGTACCTTTTTCGATGTTGACGGAAAAAAAACGAGCAGGGAAATATACAGGACGTTCTATATATTTTATTTCCTTTGAGGAGCAAGCTAAAACAACAGACGACGTGCTCTGCTATCGATGCATAGCCAACGCAACAAAAGCAGTGACCTAGCATCCTATTTTGACATGGGACATTATTATCACGGAAGCGCATCAATTCTAGCCCGATCGGATCAGAATGCCTTTCGCTCCTCCATGGAAACGTGTTTTATGTGTTATAACCATTATGGTATGAGGACTCGTTGCTATTCCATTCGTTTTTGCTCCTGCTATGATTTCGGTTTCTGTGTCATTTAAGATGTCAGGGCGCTTCTGTCCAGGTCTTTAAACTTGTCTACAGGAAGCGGATTACCATCTTATCGTTGGCCAAGTATAACACCTGATCGTTGCGCGTGCGTCGTTGTTACGAGTGGCAACCTTTGATAGTACAATCTGTCAATTGACATATAGATTTCGGCTGTATTTATAGTATACCATGGGTAATTCGTTATAATATGGAGGGGCAGAATTTCAGGTTAGTAGAGCAGTAGTATCTCAGATAACACTACCTATCGATCTATACAGCAGAAAATCTATCGCCAACTCATTTTGTCACACAAGCTTGTTTGGAAAGCTAATGGAAGGTTATAGATATGTTGTCGCCACCCGGAGGTTTGGGGAACTTGCCTCCAACATAGGGGTCGAAGGGAGGCAGGGACCGGTAATGAACTTTACCCGCCGCTGTTATGATTGGGCAAAATGTTCTCTTTTAGCGATCGAACAAGGGTTATCATCATAAGAGGTTTGCCTGCCACTGATTGGTAACAATCCAATTGTTGTCTGCTTTAAATTATGAAATTGAAACTTTTTACAGGGATTGTATGTTAAAATTTTCTTTTCCATTGATCATGGGTAAATAAAAATCATTAACAAGAGAAAAAATGTTTCTTCGTAATCACTAGCAACCCCTCCACATAGTAGCGATTCTCTCTTCTTTTACTTTCCCCACACACATACACAGACAGACACATCAACATAACAAGCCTACTAAAAGTAGTGTGTGTAAAAAAGATCATGAACTCGTCTGACGCTCATGACGAACAGAATCGTAGAGGCTCACTTGCCATTTCGGCTTTATTGAACGACGTGGCTGTTGATCCATATCGTTCGCCAGAGGGTCTTCCACAACGCTCAGAGCCTTTGGATTATTTTTCGCCTCTACGTTCGCCTAATTTCAATACAAGTGGCCGCAGTAGCGATAATCCGTCGCCTACCATGTCAAGCAGTGTCGCATCCAGCCCTGGTCCACCGAGGCGATTGGAACGGCCCCAATCGTGGCATAAGGATACTATTACACCAGAAGGCTATCATCGTCGGCTGAATAGCAATGGTGATGTGATTGTGTCGACCATTGCCAAGGCAAAGCGTAAACGCATTTCGCCCGATCAGTTTAGGCGCTTGATGGATGTCTTTGAGCAGACTGATACCCCCAGCTCAGAAGTCAGGGAGAATTTAGCAAATGAGTTGGGCATGACCAAACGTGAAGTACAGGTAAAATTAAATAGAAACTTTGGTCAAGTAGAAAAGACACATTTTTTTGATCTAATTTTTTATTTACTTTTGTAGGTATGGTTCCAAAACCGTCGCGCCAAGATGAACCGTACAAAGGCAGCTGCCACTTTGCAAAGAGCAGGACACAATCAGCAACAAGAACAACAGCAGCAGTTATTATTACCACACCAACATCATTTGGTTCCACAATATCATCATCATCATCACCACCACTTGGCGGCTCCAGGACCTCCTCAGCGACAACAACATCATCATCATCACAGCCAGCCACTTTTGCGACGTGCTTCTGCCAATTCCATCCTAGAATCCCATCACGTACCACCTCGGCCAGCACAACCTCGTTCAACTTTATCGTATCCGCCTTCTATCCCACCTCCTTTAGCACCACCACAGCAACAGCTTCAACCGATAGCACCTATGCCGGCAGAATCAGCTATTACACCACAACACCACCCACAGCTGCCCTATATTCAAATCCACGAACCATCCATACCAGGCTACAAACATCATCATCATCATCAAGCTGTTGCCTCTGGTGGTATCCAACCACCACGACCACCACCCTCAACATTACCTTCTACTGATTATTTCAGCTATGGAGCGCAGGATCGCGGCAATATCCAGAATTCGTTGGCCAACCTGAGTCTTCAGAACAATCAAGGTGGCGATATGCCGGCACGTAAACGGGCACGATCCAGGTCATCTATTGATATGTTGGCATCAGCAGCAGAATATCTCAATAATGAAGAATAAATGAGAAACACACAACTTTTTTTTTCCTTCGTCGATCAAATAAGATCAAGTAAACATTCATAATTACGCAAAAAAAAAAAAAGCTTTTTTCTTTAAGAATTCATGTTCCTCTGGTATTTTTTCTCATTTCGACGGAAGAAAAAAAAAAGGTATTTCTCTTCATTGCAACGGTTTCTTCCAAACGATTCCCTCTTTCCAAACAAAAAAAAAACAACACACAAGCAAACATCCAAAAGCAATAAAAAACCAAGTGTGAGAGAGAGAGAGATCAAGTTTCCCCAAACATAAACACATCATTGGTAGTTTACAAAGAAACTAACCTCAGGTGTACAATAATAAATCCTCGAAAAAAACAGAAATGATTCATCAAATAATGTAATCAGATGGGCCTTTTGTTTGCATATGCTTGGCGTTTTTCCCTCGAAAAAAGTCTCTCGCTTTTGGTCAGAATGCTTTCTTTGGTGTGGATGAAAGGGGTTGTTTCTTTTTACTGTTTACAAAATGAATGCAGACCGTGAAAGAAACCAGTGACGAAAATCGCATGCCTTACCGAACGACTGCTTTTATTTTTTTTAAAAACATATGATTTAAAAGGCCGCCACGATTGTAGAGCCAACAGCACTCCTAACACGTTAGGACGAAATACGCTGCTAGATTAGTAAGATGCATCACATAGAGCTCTTTGTAAGGCCAAGAGGGATAAATGCGGTTTATTTTACTTTCACTTATACTTTGCAGTATCAAAAGACATGGCACTATTTTCCAAATCTCACAATTTCAGTCAAGCCAAACCACCGAAGCGTGGGAAGACCATTCAAAAGAGATTGGTATAAGCAACGGCGAGGGCACAAGTACAAGCACGGAGCTAGCACAGAGAAAATTGTGGGACGACCAGACAAGAAACAAGAAAGACACAACAAGGGTTCATTGTTCAGTCGAGCGAAGCGAGGCAGGGGACCGCTAGTTAAGACACGTTGCGAGAGACCGATACATCCTGAGATGACAGCTTGTGCATATAGCTAGTAGTCGAATATATGTCCAGTATACACACGGCAGAGTGGGGTGTGGCCCATGATATATAGCCTGGCCGGAATTGTTCTTTTTTTTTTTTCAATACCGTTCCGCAGACCTCTGACCACAGCCTATAGCCCTGCCCCATCGTCATTGCTGCTTGTTGTATGATATGACTTTTGTATGTTCCCAGGCAGCAACTTTGTCATTCCCCTTCAACAAGCGGGCCAAAAAAAAAAGTTTATTCCGTGGAGGAAGAGCTGTGATGTGTGGAAAGCTGGTTATCTCGCCCGCCATGTCCAACTTGAGCGCCGCCAAGAGACATACAGAATGCATACGTGAGGATTATTAGTTTTTACAGAAAACCACTGGATGAGGGCGTCCCCCCGTTCTCTTATTTGCAACACAAAAACGTGAGCTACCTTTACTCTCCATTCGCATCGATTTTGGCACCGTGAAAGAAGCGTACAGTGGAATCTTACAAAATATACTTTGCAAATGTTGCGTTTTCCATAGTACGGGATGCTGAGGCGACGGCCTCTATTTCCATCAGTTGGAGAGTCCTAATTTTGGACCGTGTATGTTTTCTGCAGAGATTATCTCTAAAAATGGAACACACGCCGTGAGACGAATCGTTGTTAAAAGCATAATTCTACTAACAATGGTTTCTGCAAGGCCTACTGCTTAATGTATAGCTACCGGTAAAGCAAAAAGATCAAGCGATGGGTCCACAATACCCAAAGATCAGGACGTCAACTTTTTACTTTTCCTTTTTTTGAAGTTGTTAATTGTTGCTGTTAGTATCGTAGTTTAGCGTGTGATTGTTGTCAAGTACGTAAACTGAAAGGAATCAGCATTTGGAAGCACTCGATTGCTTTAAGGCAAGGTGGTTTTATGAGGAGCCAAGACGTGTGCAGCAAATTGAATCAGAAGGAAATCTTGTTCCTTTATTTCTATGCCCTTTCGTCATGTACCATGAGCCGAGTACTTTATTAAATTTCATCTCCTATAACAGTGAAAGATTCAAATCAGCATAAGCGCTTTAGAAGAGTAAAAGATAGGAAGGCTGATTTACGTATCCGACTTATTCGCTGTTGTTCAGATGGAATACGATGTCTTGGTTTTTCCTAATTCGTTCAATGCGGATCAAGGGTCCTTTGGGCGCAATACCGACTGTCAACAAAAACTAGCAGAATCCTGTACCGGGAAACTTACAATCACATTTTATCGAAAATGGATATACCAAACAAGTACACGGGTCTAATGTTTTAAATATGCTTACTATTGAAGAAAAGAAACGTTCTTCCTCAATACCAGGGCCGCCGCAAAGATGTTGTGGCTGGGCCTTATAGCAATAAGTAGAGAGAACTCTTTGTTGTTCTGACGAAACCTGTTATTCCATGTTCTTTCACTGCTAACATGTATGTAATGAGATGTGTAAGCCAATTTTAACACTAGAGAGCCCTATTATTTGAATAACGATGCGCACAACAAAGGTCGACTTATAAGCAAGTGTACTCATTGGCATATGTAAATGAAGAATTTGCTTTGTGTCAATACACTTTCAAATATGAAATGGGCATGCAATCAAAGACAATACGTTGCATATCACGAAATGGGAATCCACCCGAATAAGAAAGTCTTCGCATATATATTCCTCAGATGAGTGTCTATGCCAAGTGCCCCCAGTGTATCAGTATGTCACCAGAACAGAGTACATGTTTATACATTGAGAAACACCAAAAGTTCCTCATCAAGATTGCTGGTATAACTTGGATGGCCAAGCACCCAGCATGCTGTCATTAGCATAATTGTGTGCTATAAAACAAATGTTTGATATTTTGGTTGGTTTTCCACCAAGGAAAACGAGTGGATCCCACCGTCCTCTCTCAAGTACTTTTATGAGTTTCGATGATGATCAGACTGTTACATAACACCCCTCGAATAACCACCCATTCGCAAAAGAAAACGGATGAGATGACAATAAGATAACCGATTGGTTGCCCGTGCAAACAAATATTACTGCCGCAAATCGAAAAATAAAAAAAAACACCCCAAAAAGATGACGCGTGCCTGCGTGTGACCGACGCCAATCTTCTTTGTTGTAATTTTGCTGTTGTTGATCATCATCATCCTTTCAAAAGACTTTTTTGATTTCAGGGCATATATATATCTGCTATACGCCCGCTGATCCCATTTTTCTTTTTGTTTTGCATTGAGATGCTGTGCATCATCATCATCATCATCATTTTTATACCACCACAAGCAGCAGGTCCCACATTAAGCCAGGCCCTCCTCTTGCCTTCATGCATGAAATCATACATAATTACTCAGGAAATAATAAACAACACGTACACTTTTACATCATCTTCTGCATGGCATGAGCAAAAAAAAAAAAAAAAAAAGAAGGAACCTGCTGCTGTCCTTTTGTTAATTTTAAGCTGGCCCGCGGGCTTCATCTTGGTTTGACGAAAACCCTGGTGCCATCCCTTTGTATTATTTCCACTGGGGGGGAGATCGCGCGGTTTCTTTCGTCACCAACAAAAAATACGTTTTACAACAACAGAATATATATACGGAGTGCTCCGGGGTAAAAAATAAAAAACGGGTGTAAAGGGGAGCCCCAATAATGGCTGTTGTCTTTTTTGGGTAATACAATGATGCGTTTTGGTGGTACCCGTCAACATGGTGAATACGATGTCATTTTTCCCGAATCCGTCACAACTCAGCCCAGAAATTCAGTGTTTGGTACCCCCAATTCCGTCTAATAAAATGACGTTTTATCGATGTGGGGGAAATGTCAGTTTTCGTTGCTTAGTGATGTAATGATTATTTCATTTTTTGTGGGTTGCCCCCCCTCCCCCTCATCTCCAATCCCCCATTCCATCCTTACCCTGGTATCATGGTGCTTGTCCTGCTCCTGCTGCTGTTCTTGTTGTTCGCCACCTTCTCGACATTGATAAAAGCCACAAGTTTGCTATAGAATATATATACATATATATTTTAATGCCTTGAGGTCCATTCACGGGTAAACCAGAAGCTTCTTTTTTTTTTTTGGGTACCTGTGACCATCCTGATCGACACGACCAGCAGAATTGGAATCCACAAAATAAACAATCCACCTTGTTACATCCTTCGTCGCGATTGATCATTACTGAGCAACATGGACATGCTCGGCTAAAGTAGTATCGATCGTCATTGACATTGATATATAAATTAAAAAATTAGAGTTTGTTGTTGTTTTTTTTTGGTGGGGGGAGCACCCGTTGGTGAATCACGACAAACACACACAAACACACATATCACTCTTCTGTCTAAGCTCCATGTCATTTCTGTCGTCATGGAAACCGAAAGAGACCATGTGTGTATGTGTGGGTTTAAGCTACCCATTCTCCCAAAAAAAGAACTTACGTATTTTCCAACTTCCATCGCACCGTACTGGCTTCTTCTGAATTGTCAAGACTCGACAACTTGGATGTCAAGACATCTAAACACGAACTGGGTGAATGTGCCTCTTCGCCGCATTGTAAACACATGTCATTACTGCATGCATTACTATATCCATCATCATCATTGTTAGCTGGTTATTTTTTTTTTTTTTTTGCTTGCGTTATTCGTGTTTTAGTGGGTTGGGAGTAGGGGAGACAGAGAAAAAAAAACTAACCAAGTCTCGACAGGAAAATTGGCTACATGCCAAAACTGAGCACGTTTCCAAGCTTCGGGAACCATTTCCAACGCCACAAGCTGTTTAGACAATTCGGAAGCCATGGCATACAAGTGTGGATGCTGCGCAGCTTGGCGTAACACGGGTGTCATTTGGTGGTACAAAGTTTGAATGCGGCCGATCGTGATGGGGGATGCTGTTGTTGTTGTTGGAGGACGACGGAAAGGATCTAGCCAGGACGATGCATGGATGGGCATGGGTGCTTTGTCTTGCAACGCGTCCACAAGGCCAACGATACGTTCGATCCGTTTCTGACGCGACAAGCCTTGGGATCGTGGGGATTGACAGGGTATGATTGGATGGTTACGACAGTGGGGACACCACCGTGAAAAGGGACGATAGGGTTGGTTGTATTTTTCGTATTGGTCGACCAGCGAAGAAGGTACATAGCGACTCCATTCTGATTGTTTGATGGATTCTTGACACACTTTTCCCAATTTGTTAGTTTTGAGGGGGAAATTGTAGAAACTCGTCACATACGCCTCTCTTTCAATGGGCTTACCAGGACATTTAATCCGAGTGACACCGAGTCCCCAGGATGCATGAACGATTTCTTCGATATACCTATTTTAGAAAAAAACAAGTTCACACACACACACACACGGGGGAGGTTAACAAAAAGACAAAGAAAAGCCTCCAACAATACCAAACAATTTTTACCTTTGAAAACAAGGTTTACAAAACTGATCACGACACGACTCCAAGCACAAAGCATAGCGTTTGCTTAAGCAAATAGAGCATTTCTGTAACCAGTATTCCATGGCATCATTGTCGTCACTGCCACTTTCTGTTGCAGACGTAGTGGTAGTAGTAGAAGACGACGACGAAGCCCTCAACACCGGTCTGCTACTACTTGACGACGACGACGACGACGACGACGCACCAGGTCCTCTGACACCATTGTTCACGGTTCGGATCGTGTTGTGTTTTGAACGATGTTTTCGTTGCTGCCTTCGTCGTCGTGCTGTGGTTGTGGGATCCTTGTGATGCGCCAATACCAATTGATAGAGCCAGCCAATAAAGAATGACAATGTGCGTAAAAAGATGGCAGGCATTAACAGTGCTGGGTAAAACAGGTAGAAAAAGGGCAAACAATAGCAAAATAACAGGTTGGCTAGGTTGAACTTTTGCCAATATTCTTTGAAATGTTCAACCCATGTTTTTGGTTGTAGTTGTTGTTGTTGTTGTTGTTGGAAGTGTTGTTGTTGTGTAGAATGTTGTGCTAATGTGTCCATTGAAAGGTGGGGAGGGGAAAGAAAGAAAGAGCGGTTTGTTCCCTGGACTAGTAGTAGTAGTAGTAGTAGTAGTCAAGCAGTAGTAGTCAAGTAGTACGATTGTGTGTGAATAAGCAGCAAACTAACGGTTCTCTCCGCTCCAAAAAAAAAAAAAAAACAATTGCCAAGCCCTTGCCTTGCTCCTCTGCAATATAACATTTCCCAGCAACCCCTACACCTTTTTTAAAGTTTCCAAAAGAAAATGCGCTTTCTTTTGCATGAATTTTTTATTATTATTACTATAGTTTTCTTTCTTTTTTTTTTCAGTGGTCCACTTTAATGAGAAAGATCAAATGGTTTAAGATGGGGGGCATAACGTTTTGGTGGGGTTGTTTGTGTGTGTGAGATGAGGGGGAGGGGGGGAGGAGGGGGGGAAACATATGTATAAAGAGAGGGATTGGGGCTTTTTCTTTTTGGGTATGTTGATATATCTCGTTTTTATAAGAATGCCAGCATCCCCAAAAACTAAGTATAAAAGAGAGAGAGAAAAAGGGTTTGTGTACATATACAAGCAGCGGAGAGCAAGTCAACAGCGTATGTGTGATGTGTGTATATAGTGGCGTGAAGCTGATAGAAAGAAAAAAATATATAAAATAGAAACCCCAAGTTCAGACGAAACAAAGGAGTAAGAAAAAGAGGGGGGGGTGCGGTTTACAAGGCAGACAGGTTGTTAAGCAGGTCAAGAGAAAAGAGAAAAGAAATTAATAGAAGCCTCCCAGCGTCATGGATGGATGCAATTGATTGTACGCCTGCTGCTGAAGCTGGAACGTGTTTGGTGAGATGGTTGCCGTTGTTGGTACTACCGGTCCATTGCCTGCTGGTACTGCTGATGGTACTGATGGTGGTGGTGGTGGTGGTGGTGCTCCCATGGCTGCTGCTGCTGCTGCTGCAAACGCCTGCTGTTGTTGCTGTTGCTGATAAATATGCTCCTGCTGCTGCTTGATGGCTTCATCCTTGGCCTTCCTCACTGCCTCCCGTTCCTTCTTTTGTCGTCGCCACTCCTTGCGCATTTCCTTAAACTCGGACGGATGTCGCTTGGGCCCGTGTTTCTGCATGCTGACATGCGCATTCAGATGATTCAGCGTGCCATACGACTTTGTGCAGCCGGGCCAGTTGCAGTGATATAGCCGTTCAATCTCGTCGTATTTCCGTCGAGGCCGTTTCCTTTGGTTGGTTCCCGGGATGGCGACAAAGGAATACGTTTTGCTGTCTGCACACGATCCCGTGTCATCGCTGCTGCTTTCGGATGGATGACGTACTCGGCGTTGCATGTTGTCGAACGGTCCTGGTTGTGTTGTCGTTGTCATTGGATCAATGTAAGCGAGAGGCGGTGGTCCGGTGGCGGCGGCAACAACGGCTGCTGCTGCTGCTGTGGTTGGATCCATCGTGGTCAGATGGGCAGGTGCTGTGGTAGGGAACAGCGGTGCAATTTGATCCATCATTGTCAGCATGTCTTGTTGTGTTGTAGCAGCGACCGACGTGTTTGTCGTGGTGCTGGTCATGGCTGCTGCGACTGCTTGTGCCTGTGCGGCTTGTTCGGCTGCAGCCGCCGCCGCCACTGCCTCGGCGCTTGGATTGCTTGTGGCGGTTGTGGTAGCAGGCGCGTAATCATAGTATACCGGAGCAGCAGCAGCAGCAGTGGTGGTGGTGGTTGTGGCGGTGGTAGTAGTAGTAGTAGTAGGGGCGGTGGTATAGGGCATTGAAGAAGACGTTATAGAAGGTGCAGTGGTAGTATGAGAGACATCGCCGTCCTTGGACGATCGATCGGTGGTCAAGAGTTGTGATAACGGTGGCAGGGACGGCAGTTCGAGTTGATGCAAGTAACTTGCGTTCTGCTGTCGTCGTGTCAAGAGTGTTGGTGATGTGTAATCAGTCATCATGTGTGTGTGTGTGTGTGTGAACTCGTTTGTGGGTCTTTTAAGAAGAAGAAGAAGAAGAAAAAGGTAGAAAAAGAAAAATTGCATGCACGTCGAACGTTCAAGTAAAAGAAAAAATAAAAAAAAGGGATAAAAATAAAGAGCGGACCTTGGGTTTCTGTAAAGAGAGAGAGAGAGAGTGCTGGGCAAAAATGACGTCAAGTTGGTTTCCGGGCGCTTCCTTTTAAGGACTAGTGTTTGGCCTGGGCGATCCCATATCGCAAAAAAAGGGCGGCGAAAAAAAAAAAAAATTAAAAGAGAGGGTGTTACTGTACCAGTCCAGCACAACACCACCCATTTTTATTCGGGGTACAACCCGAGCCTGGCAAATCTTTTTTTTTTTTTGTTGAGCTGGGCTGGCTGTGACTGAGTTTTAAGTGAACGAGAAAACCAAAAAAAAAATCTGTGATCGCTTGTGAGAATGACTTGTGTGTCGATCACTTTCTTATTCGATGCGTGTTTCCCAAGCACACATTTTTCGAATAAAGCACCCCCATTTGTTTCAATTATCATTAAAGATAAGCAGTCCCGAATTCATTGTTGCCTGAGCACACGTAAAGTCCAAAGGGAGAGGTTTGGCGGGGGGGTGTGAGTGGGAGGACAGAGTTAGGTAGGTGGGAGGTCCCGGGCAATGCAATCGTGTGTGTGTGTGTCTCTCTAATCGATGGGGTTTTGATATGATGTGTGAGATCGGTGACGACGACTACGGACGACGATGATGATGCTGATGATGATGATGTGGTCCTCGTCGACGTCGTCGTTGTTGTTATTTGTTTGTTTACGTATTGTGTCACCGTCCCACTTTTTACTTACACACACACACACTTACACACACAACCACTTTCAGCCACACACACACACATACACACGGCCTTGTCCGAAAAGGTGTTAGTGTAAAGATCGACAACAACATCATCCACCCGGAAGGTCCTCGTTTGAACACCAGCAGCAGCAGCAGCAGCAGCAACAGCAGTGCACGCACAATTTAGCACGTTGCCATTTTTTTAAGCTTGCTTCCACTTTATACTTGAATTGGCAAGAGCCCTTTTTTAACATTGAAGGCTGTGTGGAGTGTTGTCGCCATTGCTGCAAAGTGAGACTCTCTCTCTCTCTCTTGGCTTAAACAATTTACAGTCCACCTGCCAGTTTCAGCAATGACACTTGAGTATATAGCAACTTGGCGCTGCGTTCGAGACATATGCTAATTAACACATATAACCGAGACATTGAAGCATTTTAGCCGTTTCAGTCGTGGCACTATCCAATATTTAGTGGGATGCCAAGTCTTTTCAAAAGCAGTGTTAGTTAGAGGCGAAACCAGTGATTTCGACACTTGACATTTCGCGTTCGAGAACCTCCTTCTCCCATTCATATAAATACACCCCCGGTACTGTGTGTTTGTCTTTCTCCATCACTTTTTTTTTCTTGCGCTGGTTCGCTTTATATTACTTTCCTTGTGCCATATCTCCCTTCTTATCCATTCGTACATAACACCAAAAAAAAACGTTCATTTCAACGATGAAATTGTCTACTGCCGTCTCCTTCGTTGCTGCTTCTTGGTTCGTCGTCCTGGCTGATGCTGCCGTGATCCCTGGCTCTTCTGGTACGCCTCCTCCTACTACTACTACTACTACTACGGCTGGTTCCGTCGACTTGACCGCTTCCACGCTGGACGTGACTCCTACTCCTTCTTCAGGTGCTGGTCACCATCGTATCACTCGCGCTGAGCGTGTATTGAACTTTAAACGCGGTCATGATCATGATGATGACGAAGATGCTTCGGATAACGACGACTCTGGTAGTTCCTCGTCGTCGTCTGATAGCAGCACCAGTAGCGACTCTGCTACTCCCACCTCTTCCTCTTCTTCTTCTTCTTCCTCCTCCTCGGATAATGGTGGCAAGACTTATTCAGGCACAGGTACTTGGTTTATTCCCTCGACACAAGGCGGATCGGCAGGTGCCTGTGGCGGCGATAACGAAGATGACGCTCAAATCGTTGCTTTGGTAAGCACACCAACCATGATGATGTTTCAGATCAAAAAAGAAAGCTTTCTTTTTTTTTTGGGGGGGGGGGAGGGAAGGAAACAAGCCGAAAGCTCTTTAATGGAACTATGAAAACCTATTCACTCACGACGCAAACACATTTTTTAGAACCAGGAACAGTACGGCGATACCTCGTCCAAGAGCGATTGGTGTGGCAAAAAGGTTGAGATCAGCCACAATGGCAAATCGACCACTGCCACCATCACCGATGCTTGTCCCGAATGCGTGTCTGGTGACTTGGACTTGACCCAGGCTGTCTTTAAGGCATTGGAAAGCGACCTTGATGTTGGCGAGTTGGATATCTCCTGGAAGGTTGTTTCCTAAAAAGCAACACAGTTTCCCCTTTTGTTGTAGTATAGTTTCCTCAGTACAAAAGATCTGTGATCTGCTTTTTGTTTTCTATGTTGTATTAAAAATAAATATCTTTTTTTTGGATCTGATTTGTGTGTGTTTTTTTGATGTTGTTGTTTAAAACGGTAAATGAATTATCCTTGAAAAAGCCAATGTTTCTCTCTATCTCTCTTTCTCCTCTTTTTTCGTCGATCTTTGTTTGACGATGGGAAAATGAACCCCGAATTTGAAAAGAGATGTGTTCTATATGTTTCTTGGTCATTGATTGTTCTTGAACAATAAAAGCGATCCATTCTTATTGGTGTAGACTTGTAATTGTCTTTTTTTAGGTAATCACAAGAAACACAGCAAATTGACAGGTAAAAAATGATGAAACATGGGGTGACTATTATCCCTCTCTAAAGGGGGGGGGTGTGGATACGTCGTTTTCCTCATGGCAATTATAATCAATCACCCGGGAACAGGTATCATCAAATTGCTGTTGTTTCCTGGACAACGACGAGTAATGGGGCGCAATAAGAAGGTAGTAATTAATTAAGTTTACTACTTGCTACCTTACATATACAAAACCCGGGTGGGGGGGGGGCGTGTCTTCTTTTTTTTTGTTGTATCATAGCAACGATCAAGAGCGAATGATCGTCGGAACACTTGGGTAACGGTCCGGGTTACCATGATTGGTTCCAAAACCGGGTAAATAAACAATCCACTCTATTAATAGGACTGGTTATTATTTTATATATGCCCGTGTCAAATCTGTCCAAGAAAAGGTAGTAGTAGTAGTAGCAAAGCTGGTACCTACATTCGTTCAGAAACAAGGGAGGTACATGGTCAACAACAATAAAAGTAAAAAGGTCGTGGGTTTAGCAATAAATGTTTCTTTTTTTGCATCGTCGGCATTGAGCGTTACACGCATTTTCTGTGTAATTTAAAAATTTTCTGCACACTTTTTTGTTGTTGTATGTAGCCTTTTGGGCCTCCGGTTCTCCCCAAGTTCATAATGAAATGGGCCACAATAGAAGATTGAGAATTAAATATCCCAAACCTTATTGAACGATGATGATGATGATGATGATGATGATGTGCCACCCACCACCGGTATTTTTTTTTTTTCATGTGTGTGTGGAAGCATGCACAAAAAGCTTATGCTATGTAACCGCCCACAAAACCTTCCCATCCCGCACCCCTATCCTCTTCCCCCCCCCAAAAAGAAAACGAGAGAGAGCTATAATGGATCGGGTCACCGTGACATCTGAACCTTGTAAAAGTGGTACAGAAATCAGGACGTCGATCTCTCCCAAACACATGCACGGGCCATAGTAAGCTAGTACAATACTGGACGAGGTATCCAGAGAAAAATCACATAACAGAAATTATCAAGACCAGTCTGGGCTTTGTTTCCCCGTTGTATCATAAAACAAAAAGAGAAACAAGCGTCTTTTTAAACTTTCGGGAACCCCGCACCGTCACAAACCTTCCCTTCCCGTCAACCCTGGCACCTCCCCGACCAGGTAAAACGATGAATGGCGGGAAAAAAAAAAGAAGTTAGACTTTGCCCCCCCCATCCCCCTTTCTTGGTTAACCATTATTGCTATCTGCATGAAAGGCGCAAACAATCTCAAAGGGATACCTGTACTGCTAGTGAGGGACTGACGGCCGACCTTTACACCAAGCAGGCCTGCAGCTTCATCATAGAAACTTCTTTTGACAAGACCGGGTGGGAAGGGGTCAATGTACTAATTCACCCGAACAAGAAAAGGTGGGTCGAGTGAGGAGATGAATCTTATTGTTGTTAATTCTACAACAAACCCCCTACCCCGTATAAAGTTCTACTATTAGATGGGTCGCAGATATTTTGTGACAGGCTTAAACGGAAATAAAAACAGATCGACAACGGGGGCTAATTACTAACTACCAATGACCAATAATAATAAAGTTTCTTTCAGGACAAATCAAAAACAAAATGATGTTGACCTAAAAGAATAAAAACCCAGTTATTTCTTGGCTCACTCCATGTCTGATAAAGGGTTTTTACTGTTTTAACTTGATTAACTGCACAATCATGAACGAGGACTCGTGTAGTTCAAGGTCGATGGAGACCGTATTATTATTATTATTATTATTATTATTATTATTATGAAATGACGGTGCGTCGTAGTGAGCAAACAAGGACATTGTTTAGAAAAAGTGCTCCAGTGTGATGATGATCCAGCATAATAGAAGCATGCAACCACAACAACTCCATAATTATACTCTTGGCAGAAATTATTCATGTCACTTTTCGTGGAAGCAAGCGATATTATACCCAGTCACATATCGTGTTGGGATGTAGTGATACTTTCTGATACCCTCAGCAACGTCGTCGGTTGACATGCGAATTGTAAGTCTATTCTTGTAGTTGTTCTTGTGGATCGGCAAGAAACATTCAAAATGCTGATTCGTTCCGTGTTCCGTGCTAGTAGTAGTGAAATTGTATGAATACACGCACACACACACACACCGCACAATTATATCACGTCGATGCTGACCGTTTCTGGTTTGCCCAATTGCTTTTCAGTCCAATTTTGTCCGAATGTTTATAGTCTGTCTGTCTTATTTCATGTGGGGCCCTGTTATATTGACTTTTACTGGGGAATATAAGCATTCAGCACCGTCCACACTATGAGGATTTAATTAAACTGTGTGCCGTTTCCCTTCGAGCTTGGTCTACTTTAAAAACGACTACGAAACGTCTAAAAGATCAACCCATTATATGTTATTCCAACGTACTTTGGCGAAATAGGAAAACCTTTATTTTATTGAACCTTTCGATACCTTATAAGAATTATCGATCCTGCTGTCCTCAACGTCGTTTGGGGCCTGATCAAGAGGCAAAAAGCCAGTAGCACTAACAGTTGCTTTACAAATGACGATGCAACTTGATCGTGATTGCCCGATCTTTGATTCTTTCCACAAGATTGAACTAAAAGTAAGATGGAAAAAAAAAAGTTGCTCCGTAGAGCGTATCCAACTCGGCGATTAGTGTCATCCTTGTGCAGGGGCCATGCTAATCTTCTCTGTATCGTTCCAATTTTATAATGTGACAGAGGTACCGAAGTACATGTCGATTTAAGCCCTAATGTCGGCAAACTTTATAAGCTGTAAATTGAGTTGCAATGTGCGACTTGTGGGTTTTAAAGTAAACTCCGGTAAGATGCCTTCAGCCAAACCATCTTGACGCTACCTGAGATATCCCATCATGCTACGCTTAAGCTAGTGTGTAAGATGGTGCGTATATATGTGTATGTTGTGTGGGAGAGTATAATACTATGTACTTTATAGAGTAGGCAATTGGGAGCTTTTGTTGGTTTTGCTATAAAAATTCAAGCACTTTTAAAACTGATCCATTGCCTACTGTGTATCAGTAAGTATCCTGTAGTGTCATGGAAATCACTCCTATCATTTTGTAATCAGGGAAAACTGCTCAGCGTGCGATGGTCGTCAAACTTTTTGTTTGTGCCCGTTCTTTTGGCGCATTCCAAAACAAAAAGAGGCAACATTGTGAAGAAGAAAGCGGGAGCGTCTAGGCTATATACGTATATGATATGCGCTTGCATTTATCAGGTGCGCCGTGTCCAACATTTGCCTGATCATCCGGTCGTCTATCACTATCATCGGTGCAAATGACAGTCGTATTGGCCACCAGCAAGTGTAAAAAGACAAAGGGTCGTGTACTCATGCCCAAGATACCCACTGTCAAAACCCCCCCCCCCGTCGTGGTTTGAAGCATGAATCATTTGGGTACGTTGTAAGTGTTGGGCAAGGATTGCTGGGATGAGCAATCGTCAAGGGTGTGATATGTTCATATTGCTCACCAGTAAATGATAATAGCTCTTTCCTAAAATTCATCGGCCTGTGACGACAGGTTGGATCATTCAAGAGGGCCGGCTCAATCAACTGAGCATAGTGCGAACGTTTGCCCTACACTTCATGCGCTTGTCGCAAGCCCTGAGTTGACTCAACTTCATATATATATATATATACCGACTGGTTGCTGCGACGCTTGTGATGAGGAAGGGGGACATTTGCTTATGAATGCTACTCATACTTGTCACAACGAACAATGACAAGGAATCATCCGTAGCAGCGCCACTGACAACAACGACTCGATCCAACAAGTTTCCATGGATCACTTTGACAGCAGATTTTCTACCCTGATAAAAAAAAGCTCCGACCAAATCATATCAGAAGAGGATCGGTGTGCGCGTGATCCCTGGTAAAGGTTCTGATAGGTTACACGCATACACTTGACTGACCCGACTAACTGACTGAGAACGGGCATTTTGACATACACGCGACTTTACTAGAACAACAACCGAAAAAGAAACAAAAAAAAGAAAACGTTTTATTACAGTTTCCAAAAAAGACAAAAAAGAAGAAAAATGTACATTAGACACGGCAGCTAGTGAAAGCCGTGACCAGGATATCAGTGGCGCCGACTTCAGTCAACTTGTCCATAATCTCGCCCTTTTCTTTTGCCTCGATCATAGCCGAGACAGCAACCCAACCTTCGTGCGATTCCAGTGATGAGACTGTAGCGCCTTGACGACCGGGAGTGATGGAGGTGCCTTTCTGGATATTTTCGCGTTTGATGTTGTAAGAGCACAAGACGTATTTACGAGCAGCGATGACGCCACGAATGCGGGAGGTGATTTTTTCGATAAGGGAGGTGTGCTGAGATTTGTGGTTGGCAATCAAGACCGATTGAGTTGTCATGAGTGTGTGGACGTCATGGAGACCAGCTGCACGCATCGTTTCACCCGATTCGACCAAATCGACTAGTATTTAAAGAAAAAAAAACTATCAGCCAAAGGTTTGATGATCATGGTGTGCGCCTATTGATTGAGAGGCGTGACAAAAAAAAGTTGTTGTAAACCCAAAGAGGAGATGTGAGTCATACTTACTGATACCATCAGCAAGGCCCAAGGCACAAGCGGCCTCGACCGAGCCCGAGACATACGTAATGTGCGTTTGCTTGCCAGCGGCTTTATCCAAAGGTTCAAAGACCTTGCGAGCATAGGCATCAAAACTGGTGACGATCCGTTTACCGACCAACGCATCCAACGTTTGAAACTCGCCCTTGACAGGTGTTTGAACACACAAACGACACCTGCCAAAGTCCAGTTCCAACACTTCAGTGACCTTGTCGGCTACCTCGTTTTCGACGACCATGTCCTGGCCCGTGATACCCATGTCGACGTTGCCCTCGGCAACATACTTGGGAATGTCGGCGGCAGGCAGGAAAATAAGTGCAACGGGTAAGTTTGTTGAGAGGGCAATGTCTTGACGCGATTTACGAGCAAAGTGAATGTCGGATCCTTTCAGCAGTTGTAAGACTTGTTCGTAGAGACGACCCTTTTTGGGTACGGCAAACAGTAATCGGTTGTCGAGATCTTTGACAAAGTCCATTTATGTTGGCGTTTATAAATAAGTTGTTAAGAGAGATGAAAGAAGAGAAGAGAGAGAGAGGAAAAGAGGAGGAGTGTGTTTTTTACCCGCTTCTTTCTTTCCACCCCCCCCCCCCCCCCGACACATTAAAAGAGTAGGTGGGTTAGAATCCGGAACCCCATTCTTCAAAAAGCCACCCTAGCCTGTCCCTGTGCCGGCTAAAGCGTCCCGCCACTTTGTTTAAGCAGTGGTCTAAAAAAGGAAACCCGGTTACACAGCGCCAGGTCCTTTTGCCACCTCATGGTTCGCTTGCTGCTTTGCACATCTTATAATACGCGGTGTGTGTGTACCACATGACATACACTTTACTTTGCCTACACACACACACCCAATCGAAAATCACCTTTGCGAGAAGAGGGCCTTTTTTTCTTTTCTTTTTTTTCCCTCGCTTTTCCCTCTCTTGCCCTCTCTTTCTCTTCTTTCGCCCCCACCCCCACTTTGCACATACACACACTTGTCTTTTTTAACATCAATGAGTCTGGCAACCAACATGAACGATACCTCGAATTTCTTTCCATACGAAGCGTTTGACTCTGATACGAATCGACGGAAAAACACTGCTACGCCTTGTGCGCATTGTCTTAAAGTAAAAAAGAAGAAATAGTAAAAAGATGTGTGTGTGTGTGTATGTGTGTGTGTGTGTGGAAAAGGGAAACCCGCACTGAAGAGTAAAAAACCTTCGGGCTTGAAACAAAAACTTACTTTTTTACGCTCACACTTCCCCCACCCTTTTTATATACTTCTTGGACACAAAACCTTCCACCTTTTTTTTTTTACTTTTTTTTTTTTTTTTAGGCTCAACTTACCTGCGACGGTCGTAAGTTTTCTCTCCCACAAAAAAGGCAAGTAGTTTATACTGCGAATTAACATACTGGGTTGTTTTAGTACGTCCTTGTCAAAGCTGTTATAAGCGCGGATTAACCACGACTTGCTCAGACGCAACACGCAAAAAGGTTAAGCAACAACAACTCCATCACCAAGAAGTACAAAGTAAATGTCTAGAATTGAAAAAGCTAAAGAGATTGGAGGCGGTGGGAAGGTGAAGCTGGAATTAATAATAATAATATTGGTAAACTGAACTTTTTATTTGTAATTATATAATTAGCACCTGCAGGACTAGCAACAGCGACATTTCCACCTACAAATTCTTTTCTGGATTCTATTTCAACACCCATGGGTAATAAAAGGAGAGAGAGAGAGAGAGAGGAAATTGGAAAGAAGAGTGGGGATGGTGTGTGTACCTTTTTTTTAAAATGTAAAGTAGCTAACATTGAACAAAACGAATTTTAGATCAATTCACTGACACAGCTCAACTATTGAATTTCTCCTTGGCCGATCTAGGCTTTGGGTCCGAGACAGCGGGTTTGGAGTATGGTATCATTGGTAATATGTTACAAAACCCATTAACCGATTTACAAACGGCAGCAACAACGACGGCAACTTCGTCAACTGCAACCGCTACGACTATCAACGGTCATAGCATGCCAACAACGTCTACACCAACACTCACAACAACAACGACGACGACGACGACAAGCGGTACGAACCATGTCGCCTCCGCCGTTGCCGCAGCTGCAGCAGCTGCAGGACAACAACAACAACAACAGCAAACTTTTCCTTATGCACCAGCACAATTTTCTACGTTATTACCAATGACATCCTCTCCATCGCCTACTACTACTACTACCGCAACAAATAACCACAGCAATAACCACAACGTTGGTGTTGCTGCTGCTAATGGTAGCAATAGCATGACACCACCGTCCGAGAACAAAGCATCACCGGGTCCACCTACGATTATGAAACGGGACAGTGTATCATCCGCCGGCAGCCAGCCTACGACGGGGGCTGCTGGTGGCAGCAGCAGCAACAACAACAACATCAAGAGAAAACACAGCAATCACGACAAGACACCAGAAGCTGTGTACAACAATGTTCGCCGTCCGTTCAACTATGCAGAAGGATTCCATTATCTCATCCAATATGTCAGAGAAAAGTAAGTACCGTTTCTTTTTTGGGGGGGGGGTGTGGGACTTTTTGTATATGCATGATCTCACATGATTTATAGAATGGGTCGTGAGGATCTGATGAGAATCAGTCGAGCGCTGGCGCTGTTCCGTCCATCCTTCCTGGCACTGATCATGAACCTGACGGAAGAGGACCTGGTGTTTATGGAAAAGTGTCTGCAACGGACATTGCTGGTAAATGTGTTTAATTGCCTGTAGAAACCACCCCCGTTGCCATCAAAAAAAAAAAAAAAAGATGAGACTAAGCGGTTTTTTTTTTTTTTTAGGAATATGAAAAGTTAATTAGTTTCTCAGGAACACCCACGGTGGTGTGGCGACGGACAGGCGAAATCTGTCTGGTTGGAAAGGAATTCTCATTGCTGACGCAGTGGCAGAGGGACTTGCTGCTGCACAAAAAGACGTACATTTACGAACTGATGGATAATGGATCGGCCGTGGAGTACTGGGAGAAGTTTGCTACACACGCATTCGACAATACGGACAAGGCATGTACGTTTTCCTGCATATTACGGACGCCGACGCACAAGGCGGTGCCCTGTACCTTTTGTTTCACCATCAAGCGAGACATATTTGATCTTCCGAGTGTCATTGTAGGAAATGTGAGTTTCTCTTTACTTAGGCCCTACTAATACTACCGCTACCTTTCCTCCTTAAATCTTATGCCCTGCCCTGCCCTGCCCTGCCCCCCCCCTTGATCGAACTATCGTCATCGGTCATTTCCTCGGTTGTACTAACACTGGTTTAAATTAGTTCTTGCCATTATTGAGTTGACCAAAGTTATAACAACAAAAAGTGTCCATCGACGTCGTTTTCTTTTCTATTTGTTGTATTTGCTCATATACATATATATAATCATCCACACGTACACATCATTCTTATCCAACAACCCCGTCTTTTTTCCTCCCTTTTTTTCCATCAGATCCCGGCTACCTCTCCCCTCTTTTCCTTTCAATGCGATAAAAAAGAATGGATACCTCGTTTTCTTTTTACTATTCTCACACATAATGTAAAATATTATTTTCTCTCTCTCTTTTTTTTTGATAAACAATTTGTATAATCTCATCCCCCAAAGAAAAGGAAGCAGCAGCTTTGGTCGTAGTTAGTAGAGGTGGTATTGGTTTTTATTGAAAGTCCTGCTTTTGCTCGGCATGCAGAACTGCTAACCTTAACTGAAATAGAAAGAAAAAGATAATCACAGATGTATAAAGAAGAAGAAGAAGAGGGGAGGAGGTTGCTTTCTGAATAGCCAGAAAGACTAAGGATATGATAAAGTAGAAAAAAGAAGCTTCATTGGGAGAAAAAGGGCAGAACCGTTATAAACTAATCGTACAACATATGGCAAAAGGAAGGAAATAAAAAAAAGAAACAAATGAAACAAGAAACAGAAATGCTGCTCTTGTTGCTATGTTTAACGTTGCATGGATAACTTGTTCTTTCTAGCATTGATCGTCATCACAACCTTTTGTGCCACAGGCACACCAGCTAATAGGAACAATGCCCTTTTTGGGTTCTGCGATGCGATTATACACGGCTGGCGTCATATCCAACGATTCTAAATGTTAAAGGCATTGTATGAGTATCACTGGGTACTAACTCCTTGGCGAGTCGTTCAAGATAAACCTACTTGTTTTGCAGGTTGGGCAAGCATCCGTAATCTTTGCTGTGGTCTTTTTGCCATCGTCGGTTTTGATCAAGACCTTCTTTCCACACCAGTGGCTGTTTTTGTTGGTAGGGCCGTACAGGTCGGTGCTCTAGGGTCATATTCACTGAGCGATTCTATTCACATAGCACTCTCACTCACTCTCTCTCTCTCTCTGTGTGTGTGTGTTTGTACTTACCAAGGCGACAATGTTGCTTTTATCTGACTCAATGATACCGCTGCAAGCACCTTGTTCTCCACCTTCGGTCTTGGGATGAAAGAATGTTCCATAGCCTTGAAAGACGCCTGCGACAACATTGTCCACAGCGCTACTGACGTCGGCCAAAAAGTCTGCCAAAGAATCTCCATTGTTGCTGCCGGAGGAAGAAGAAGACGAACCACCATGGTGGTGATGCTTTTTCTTGTGGTGTCCTTTGCCTTTGCCCTTTCCTTTGCCTTTTCTTTTTCTACCGCGTTTCTCCAGATGATGTTCCGGAGCTGACTCGGCCAGAAGAGTGAAAATGCATACTACAATGACAAGAATACAAAGGAATCTTGTGGCGACCATGTTTTGCTCGTTTGGTTGGTCTTTTTAAAAAAAAAGAAAAGGCTTCGTCGGGTTGCTATGAAGTTTTGATGATGTACAGAAAAGAGGATCACCCAAAGCCGATCGAATTGATATCGACGCGCGTGAGGGGGGGGGTTATATTCGATTTATAAAGGAAAGGAAAGGAAGAGGAGGAGAAGAAAGAAAGAAAAAAAGATCGAGAAAAAGAAAAAAATGAAAGAAAGAAGGGTAATATATAATTCCTGGATAGGTTTTTTTCTTCCTTTTTTTTTTTGCATGCACGGCAGCCAGGACGGATGGATGAAGCAGGGGGGGGGGCTTTGTGGAGAATAAAGAAAATAGGAGAGAGACTTGTCGGACAGCGCAGCAGGCACTCACTACACAGGGAATGAGTGAAAAGTAACAACAAGATGTTGCTTCCTGTTGTTGTTAATCTAGTAAAGCAAGTATCCTAGTGAAGCAGGTCTGTAGTATAGTTAGCAAAAAGCAGGGCATAGCATAAACTACTCGACACCACACTCTAATTCTGTGAATGCGCATTAGGAGAGAGAGAGAGAGAGAGGCATTGTGTTTTCCTTTCGAACAACTTGCAACAAACACATGTAAACAACTTGATCTTTGTTTTAATCAACCAGAATTTCTATATATTGCAATCTGCAACGATGGACGCAGCCTATCAATTTCTTTTCAATTGGGTGCTTCTTTTTTTTTTTTTTTTTCACAGTAGGATCATCCTTTTTCATTTCCACACTATTTTAAGGATGATCTAAAAAAGAGACAATAAAGAAAAAAGAGATACATGCGGGTAAGTAAGAAAGAAGGTGCATGCGGCTTTTTTTTTGATGTGCCCTTCCTTGCCACCCTTGAAAGTCCTGCACGACGATGATGGATGGATTGGGTCCTCTTTTCCTAGACGTTAAGATCAAGAAGAGGAGGGAAAAGGAGTAGGAAGGGGGAAGTAGTAGGTGCTTACACACGCATAGGATATGTAGTATGTCTGCACTTTCCGCTTAGTGCCCTTTCTTTCTTTCTTTCTTTCTTTCTAACCTTTTCTTTTCCTAGACGTTGTGCATTGGACTACATAGTTTACTTTTCTCTGTTTTCACAATTATCGCCCTAATATATACCACTTCTTGCTTGCTTTTGCTGATATGATATTTCATCCTTTCCTCCATGCATTTAAAGACAACATCGTTTATACTGGTGGCACACCATGTTTTACTACTAGTGATATAACTAGTTTCCATATCCCATGTTGAGACTACCAACAAGTCGTCCCTTTTATGCTTATGTTGTTTCTAGTACAAGACATGTTTCGAAGAGCAGTTACAACGCCTCTTTGCATACTACGTACATTCGTAACTGTAGTCTGTCTCTCTCTATTTCCAATCATTCTTCTTGACTTGGGGACATGATGTATGTATTCTGTGTTTCTCTCTCTCTCTCTCTCTCTCTCTCTCCTTCTTCTACACTTTTCTACTTCCCCGTCATGCAGCGTTTGTACATATTTCTGGGTTACTACCTTCTCCTCGTCTTGCCCTCTTCTAATGTCGCAACATCTCCTCCTTTCTACGAAATCCAGGACTGCATCCGTAGTACAAACAATGCATAATACAGAACGTTTCCGAAAGGAAAAATGCATTGTTATTCTGTCGATAGCAGCAACAGCAACAATGAGGAAGAAGGGGGAGGCCGTCGTTTATTTCTGAATTGAAAAAAAATCAAGCAGCATGACGTGAAATGATGATGAGGATGAGGATGAGGATGAGCTTTAGTTACTAGTACTACTACTACTACTACTACGAAATACTGATTCCTGAACTGATGAGGGATGAGTCTATACTACTACTCCTTGCTATCTTCTCCTCTTCTTAAACTTCTCCTTTTATTTTGTCACTTCTCTAATCATGTCGCCGCTATTCCTAACATTTGTTTATCCGCTAAAATGATTTGAAGGCGATTAAGTACTAAACGATATTTATCTCTCTCGTCTCTAAACATAAAAAAAAGAGACCGGATCAAGGTTCCTGCGTGTTGGGAAACACTCGCCCGAAATATGCTGTTAAAGATCACGCACACTAGATATGTACGGCAGTATAAGATACCAAACCCAAATTGATTCATTATAACTTTACAACAAGATAAATATACAGACCTGGTTTTGTTTTTTTGTATGAGTTGTAGCGTAGTGTTTTTTTAATTCGTATCATAGCTTAAAACATTTCACTCTGTCTCTTGTCGTCGTATCTACATATTTACTACTTGTTTTCCACTGTAAACATGGATGATGAGTGTTTTTTAGCGTTCATCAGTAAGACGCGTGTCACGAGTAGTATAGAAGACGTTTGATGTTGATGATTGTAAATAAAGGAGTCCTTATGCGAAAACAGCACTGACGGCACAGAGAATGTAGCGTTGCCAAGAGATATTTCTGGAGAGATAATGCAAATGCCGTGGTATCAAGTGCCAGGAATGCAATAACAGGATTATATCATTGGCAATCTAAGCATGTAAAACCCTAATGGAGTCATGAGATTCGGTATGGTTATATCCAGTGTTGACGAATTTCGCCAACTGCAATTTTCGCCTTGGCGAAAAATAGTGCTTCATGATTTTCGCCTGGGATTCTTGGATCTTGACGGTGAAGTTAACGACGAAACAGCTGAAACTCCTGACATACAAGTGCACCCAGCAGAAAACAAATCTTATAAATACAAATTGTCAACACTTTTCACCCCCTCCTTTCAGCAGATTTAGATTTTCATATGTATTTCCAAGTAAAGTAATTGATTTCTCGCCTCCAATTTTCGCCTATTTTCGCCCTGGCGAAAAATCAACACTGGTTATATCATTAAGCCATATAGATTAAAAGACCTACATGTGACCGGTCATTAGCGCTTGCTTTGCAATAAGTGCATAGGTAGGCTACCACTTATATATCGAACGTTAGTAAGAAGCTCAGCATAGAACTTCTATATAGTCGAGCAGCATTGGAACCATATAATCTTTTGGTCGTATATAACCTTCGCATTCAGATTGCGGCAGATGTGAGCGAGTCGAAATAGCATATGTGAGCTTTGAAATATCTCTATAAACCATTCTGCAGCATGATACCTATAATAAGCATTTTACATCTTCCTCCTTCTCGACGTGCAGGCGATTTTGTTGAAGCTGATATAACTAGCTTACAATCACAAAGAGGCTCTTTCCGTCAATGGCACAGACTTTCATTACTTTCCGATCGCAACAATAAGTACAAGGTTCGAGGGAGACTATTAAAAAAATGAATAGGTGGGGGGGGGAGAACAACCTTTAAGCTTTTTTATGATAATCGATGGTGTACACGCCTAATGTTGAACTCTTCCTCTGACCAACCGTCACCGCTCTGGCGCCCACTAATGCAATCAACTATCCAGGGAAGACCGTGCTCCCGGACGAGTGATCGGATACGGCCACTTACGGGCAATGATTGGCTATTATCATCATAATTCAAGAAGCTGATCTCGTTCAATTTGTTCCTGCCGATGCTTTTTTTGGATAGTAGTGCCAAAAGTCCTTGCAAACCAGGGTCCTCAAAGAAAGGTTGCAATGGTTGATTTTCCAGGAGAGCTGCTTCTGATACTGCTGCTTCGGGGATATTGACACCCAGACCGAAGTTTGTCAAATTTTTCAAGTCACCCAAAGCATACAGTGCAGCACATGAAATATGACAGGTGCCATGGAGTCTCAACTCTTGGATTCCTCCTCCCCCACTCTGCTTTAAACCGTCAATTAACCGGAGGAACTTTTCTTCTTCATCATTGACAGCAACATCGCGTGGTAAAGGCATCTCAAAGATTATATATATATTATATAACAAGCCTTTTGAGTGTCGGTATATCGGCAATCGCAACAAGAAGGTCGAGTATCACGATGCTTGGCGTTTCCAGTATATATATATTTTCCAAATTCCTTGCCAGATCCCGTAACTCGTCAATACATAATGGAGATAAAAAAAGGCTTCGATGATCCCTCTCGTCGTCGTCGTCGTCGTCGCGGCCGCCATAATCATTGTCGATACTTTGATCGTTATTGTTGTTGTCGCCGCCGCCATTTACATTGTACTGGCGGATATCGCAGATTTGTAAAGTTTTCAAAGCGCTTTAACGCTGGATAGCAGCAATTGAACTTGTTGCCATGAGGGAGTAATCCATAGTAAGTTCTTCCAGTGCAGGTACTCGTTCCAGAAATGCAATACTCGCTCGTTCATCTCGAAAGCCAAAAAAAGACAGCTCGAGCATATGCAGTTGTCGCAAAGGATTACACAAGAGCTCCACCTCTGACAGTTCAACGGAAAGCGGTAATAAAGAAGCGTCTTTTACTTTGACAACCATGTCTTCGATGCAGGGACAATGGTTAAGCATTGTGAAGAGCACGGCAGGATCATTCCAAGTAATGTCTGTAAGAGTCAGTGAACGCAGCTGTGTCATGCAAAGTGGTGCGAAAAATGATGACCAATCGGGACCACGAACATTTTCTTTGTTGAAACGTGAAAGATTCAGATATTTCAACGTGTGTTGGTGCTTGGCCAATAGTCGCATTGTTTGGTCGTGAGGGGCGTGATCCTCACATATGGCAAGTTGATGAAAAAGCCCCTCGTCATCATCACGTTCTCGGTGTCGCAATATTAGTGGTCGGCTTCTATTGATGCTGCGTTGAATACTGTCCTCAATGGTGCCATCATCAGAGTAACTCCCGCTATCCATATAGTACATGAGCTTCGGACACCATGAGAATAGTATGTCGAGATCGGTAGGAGGAGCGGCATCCTCTTCGAACCTAATGTAGTCACTTGCACCAAGAAGATAGCGTAAGTTAGGGCATCGCTGTAAGATCGGATTTATCCTTCGCTTGTCCATCGGTGCGTCAAGCAGTAAATAGATGAGGCTGTCGAATCGAACCGTCGTCTTTGGTGGTACTACAGCTAAAATGGAAACACTGTCAACAACATTGTCGTAACGGTGATGGTTGAGGATTGCGAATGTTGATGATGGCTCTTGAGCAAATATTCTCTTCTCTTTCCAAGCCGCAGCATCCGGACGATATATAAAGTGTGTCAACTGAGGGCTTGCGGCAAGTGCATCAAGTAGTGCAATGTTTGAGCCATGACGTTCCATAGTCAGTCGAGTGAGCCGGCCTGACGATCCAAATTGTCGTAACAGGTTGATGAATTTTATCTTGATTATCCGCAGTACACTCCACAAACTCTAATAACGCAATTGATCAGCAATGTAAACATAGTACGCTCATTGAACATACTGTACCTATTGATTCGATTTCAATACAGCCCCATTCGTTAAACACTTTGCGCATCACGTTATACAGCTCGTCTTCCTTTTTGAATGCTTTAAAAATAGCTTTTTTGACATGGGTTCCAAGGCAGCGCACACGATGGTTGTTCTTGTTGTTTTGACACATATCACGTGTTGTGAATTGTACCGTTTTCCATACAACGGCTTTGGCATACTGGGGAACTTTGCTGTACCCTCTGCGACATGTTGCCATACAAGTCAAGTAATCTCTTTGATCAAGGTATGAAAAGACGTTGTTGACAATGTTGAAAGGAAGCACATCAATCAATCCGGCACGTTGAGTTCCGAATTCCAAACGAGATCGAGAAACAAAGTTTTCGTCGTCAATGGTCATGTTGGTTGGGTTTGTTGCGCGCTTACATTCATGCTGCGCCCCGCGCATCGCCGGCTTATTCTTGGTTTCATGTGACACACGAAAAACGGACCTGTTAATGCATACTTGGTAGCAGTGGCTCTTTATCTCTCTATCATAGAGAATCTACATATTAGCTTCAACGTTCAATCAACAACGTATATAGGAAATGAATGGTATGGATTACAGTGTGTATATATATAAATACTTTTGCTGTCCCGTGAGTTATATTTATTGTAAGCACTTTTTATATATGAGAGACGGAAGTGGGAGAAGGATGAGGATAAAGAAAAAAACAAATATCAAACGAATTCAAATGATGGGTGTGAGTGGAAGAAGTATGTATAATAATGATGAAATTTAATTATTTCTTTTGATATGCGGCATCGTGAGCCTTTTGGGCACGGCCAGAAGGATCTTCAGGACAGCCCCAGTCTGCCCGAGGAATCCATCGTACAACGGATGCAGTGCAAGCCTCTTGAGGGAACCAGTCTTCAAACATGACACGGTACATGTATGCTTCCTTGGTGGTAGGCGTATCCTTGGACCATCTCTGAGCAGCGGTGGCGAATTCTTCATCAGTGACCTTGGACAAGCTGACTTCCTTCAAGCTGTCGATCCACGAATAACCGACACCGTCCGAGAACTGTTCCTTTTGTCTCCACAAGACGCTATCGGGCAAGTAGGGCTTGACATCAGGCTCATCAGAGGTATCGAAAGCCTTACGGACGATGTATTTCTCCATGCGGCCCTTGGAATTGTCAGGGCGCTTATCCTTGGGGTCGATGTTCATGGCGACTTCAAGGAGCTGCTTGTCGAGGAAAGGAACGCGGGCTTCAAGACCCCATGCCATGGTAGACTTGTTGGCGCGCAAGCAGTCAGCATAGTGGAGGTTCTTGACACGGGTGACGGTCTCTGCGTGGAAGGACTTGTCGTCAGGAGCGGAGTGGAAGTACAAGTAACCGCCAAAGACTTCATCAGCACCTTCGCCGGACAAGACCATCTTGACACCCATGGCCTTGATCTTGCGGGAAAGCAAGTACATGGGAGTAGAGGCACGGATGGTGGTGACATCGTAGGTTTCCAAGTGGTAGATGACATCGCTGACGGCATCCAAAGCTTCCTGGATGGTGAAGGTGTATTCATGGTGGATGGTGTTGAGATGTTTAGCCACCTCACGAGCGGCGATCAAATCGGGTGCGCCCGGAAGACCAATGGAGAATGAGTGGAGACGAGGCCAGAGAGTGGGACCGCCTAATAGTTTTTACACACAGACTAGATCAGCATATTGTCAAACACCCCCATTGTTTGACCAGCAAGAAGAAAGAAATACAGTAATACTCACTCTCATCATAACGCTCCTCGTCGTTGTTCTGAGAGATCTGGCCAGAGGCAATCTTGTCAGTCTCACGAGCAGCAATAGCAGCGATCAAGCTGGAATCCAAACCACCCGAAAGCAAGACACCGTAGGGAACTTCAGCCATCAATCGCTTGCGGACAGCACGTTCGAGGGTCTCACGCAAAAGTTTGAGGTCGACGGGAGTCGAGGGAACCTTTTCACCGTCCCACCTATAACAGCCATTAAAATCGTTTAGGGTCCTCTCTTCTTTTCATGCGCAAATTATTCCTACTCCTCCTGTCTTCTAGTTTGGTTTTCTGTAGAAAAAAAAAAAGAAAGACACATACCAGGAAGGTTGGTACCAGCGGGTGGTCTGTTCGGTCTCAGAGTCATAGACGTGGCCAGGAGGGAAGGCAAGGATCTTGTCACAGTCTTCGTTGAGTGACTTGAGTTCGGAAGCAAAGTAGACGGTACCAGGCATCTTGGAGTTCCAGCCATAGTAGAGGGTGGTGATACCAATGGGGTCACGAGCAGCGATGACACGGTTGCGCTTGACATCCAACAAGACAAACGAGAACATACCATCCAAGTGTTGAACCAAATCGGTACCCATCTCCTTGTACTATATAGGATCATACAATGGATGGCAATACATAATCAGATCCCAATTGCCACGCTTTGTCTTTCCCTCAGAAGACCATATAAACAAACCAAAGAAAAGAAGACATACCATGTGCATGATGACTTCACAGTCAGAGTGGGTCTTGAAGACGTGCTCCTCCTTCAAGTTCATACGCAACTGCTTGTGGTTGTAGATCTCACCGTTGACACAGAGAACGTAGTTTTCGTCGTCGCTGACAAGGGGCTGGGCACCAGTGTCTATAATTTTACGGTTTCGGAAAGAGTCGATCGTGTATAAGTGATTCGGATTCTAACGGTTGTCTGTTCTTTTTTTTTTTTTTTGCTAGCACAGTCGTACTACAAACTTACCAACACCAACAATGGCCAAACGTTCATGGCTGAAAATGTGGTTCTTGGTGGTGTAGCAGCCAGACCAATCAGGACCACGATGTCTGATCCTTTTCGGTGGCAAAAGACACAAAGAAAAATTAAGGAGTGTCAGCAGGTACACACATAATTATATTTGACAAAAATTTTAAGTTTGTTTTTTTTTCTTCTCTTTGATATTTACTTCTTTGACAGGTACAAAGCACGCTGACGATAGGCTTCAGCATCGCCCTGATAGTTGTAGACGGCGAAAATGCCACACATTTTGATATTTTTGTAAAAAAGGAAGAAAAAGGAAGGAGGAGGAAAGAAAAATAAGAGGCGGAGGTATTTAAGAGCCAAGGAACCAGAGTTTTTATAGATCCGGAATCAGACGGGGCAAACCAATCGGATTTCGAAAGGGCTGTTTCCTTTATTTCTATGCTACTGCTGGTTAGTGTGTTCATTTGACAGGATGCTACTGTTGCTATGTTTACTTCTTTACCATACCATTTACTGCAATGTACGATGAGCTAAAGAGTAATCGACTGCTCATTATGACTAACCAGTAGTGAGTCATCCAATGTGTATACAAAGTGATGTATAAGTGCTATAGTATGAAAGCGAATCTGAGTATTAAATAAGTCAGTCATGACTCACTTTGGTCGCTTTTTTTGTAGAGATAAGGTTTTTCTCTCATTATATCAAAGTTGGCCGATCGCCCTTCTTTGTCTTATCTCTCTCTCTTTTCTTTCCGTCATGTTCTACTGTATTTCTTCCCCAACAACAGCTTACTTTTGGAATCCAAAGCTTTCTTGACACAAGAGGTCCATCTTCTTACGGTTTTTTCTTGCGTCGTTTTCATGATCCGCGGATTTGTTTCTGTTTATATATACGTCCGAGCGACTCCGATAACCCCCGGTACTTGGAAGCAACGAAAAAGTTCGGTAAAACGTGGGGAGGCGGGACGATGATGACAGTGGTCACGGGAACATTTGCGACGTTGGTTGATGCTAAATATGTCCAACGCCAGTATAACAGCGTGATGCTTTCCAACGTAAAAAAATTAAGCATTTCAACACTAGTACTTTAGCGTCTCTGTACAAATAACATGGACTTTCTTCACTTGTCGAGCCGCTCCGATATTTACAGAAAACAACTTGTTTAAGAAATAAGCGCTTGCTGTGTGATGAACATGAAAAGAGCAATCAACTGAAGCCCCTTTTGCCTGGTATTTTAATTGTCTTGTAACGTACTAATGCGAGAAAACGAAAACCTGAATTTGGTCCGTGCTTTAAACCAGTCTTCTAAAACCAGAAAATGGCTATGGTACTAGTTATTAGAGTGACTTGTTACACATATCATAGTGCCGTAATATGTCATCATAGGTTAAAGGACCACACCTATAAAAATTTTCCTTTTCTTGCGTCTATTAGATTTTGTAGTGTCATACTTCGTCTATCAAAATTATTACAACCTACTGCAGTAGTCTTTATTTTTGTGAATGACAATGAGTCTATTTTTTATTTGCCTATACTACTGCGGTAGTACATATTGATGCTTCCGGAAACGTGTATTACATCGTCCATGTTAAATGCTACGGAATGTTCTACATAATAAGCTAGTTGATTACCTTTCAAGAGGTATCTAGCACACAACAAATGAACCCTCTCCTTTTTTCTCCTTGTAAAAAGCATGACGTATCGAGTTGACGAATCAAGTACCACCCGATTGGCACGTAAATTGTGAACTTGTTGACAACCAAGTTCTGACTGGTACAACTCTCCCATGGTCACATGTGTAATCGTGATATGGACCATGTTGAGAATAATACCCAATGCTCAAACATACACATACAGAAATACACTCCGTGGATTTTGGACATAACACCAGCAAAATAAACACATACGCCTGCGTGATTGTTCAGCATCGAAAAACCGTGAACGGAAAGGATGTAGCGTTTCAATTTAGCACACGTCGACGTGTCACCGGACATCCTATTTAGGAAGACGAATTGCGTCTAGCAATGCCAGTGCTACTGGTTGAGAATATGAATGTGAGATTCAAATAAACGTCACATATAACGCTTATGAATGTATACCAATCAAGGCTTTTATCGCGGATTGACGATGGCTTGCGAGATATTGAGCATTAGTTTCTCTATCGGCACGACTATCAGCAACGACATCTCGTGCGCGGAAATGCATAAGCCATTTATTATAAGTAGGAGCTCCGATTGCTGAGATACATACTGGAACTTTCGCTTATCGCTTACTTCTTTGAGTATCTGAGGGGAAGAACTACTAGACTGTTACTACAGTTGCTGGTCGTGCCACAATGCACCAAAAAAACGGCGAAAATTGCACCTATCAAAGTGCCCACGTCGAGCCTGTCGTGTTTGACACATTTGGAGATTGGAGGCGAAAATTTTCGGATCATATGAAAGAAAACACGGCACGTGCTATATATAGGATATAAGTAGTATATATATATATATTTAAAGAAATCTGTGTAATGTTGGAATACCCTATATAGTAAATTGACATTGATGCCAAATTCTATAAACATTTTTTTTGTATGAAATGGTGTAGTTTATTGGGAAGAGCTTTTTCTGCTATTCCTCACTTTTTCCACTAGTGTGTAAAAGTAAAGTTCTATCACCTCCTCAAAATTCCAATACAACCAACAGCTTATCACCCATATAAACCTCCCTCCTGCCTGTCAACAACGTCTCGGACGTCCCTGAATATGACGAACGAAATATTTTCTGGCAACACGCCACCAACGCAAGATCCTCAGTTGACAACAGAGGCGCTCAAAACTCTGTATAAACTATTTGACAAAAAGAAACACTCAATCGACTGCAACAACGGACAATGCTCCAAATATCAGGTCCAAGGCCATGGCTCTGTTAAGAACACCAATCCACCACAACCGAAATTGCGCTGTCGTAGCTTTACAAAGACATTTACCGCACATGAAATGCAACAAGTCCTCAATCAGCTCGAGGACAACAGAAACAGCCTACAAACACCCAGTTGCCAAGAAATGATGGAATTTGAAGTAGTACCCCCACAGAATGATCTGATGACACAAACAATGAAAGAACTAACAACCCAAAAGAACGTCTGGATCGTCATGAGACCATGTATGAAGAGCTACAACAACGCTTGAAACATGAACTCAATGCAGCTAACGCCCAAATAGCACAATTGGAATCAATGAATCAGCAACTGCGCCAGCAGCTATCGCACCAACAAACAGCCTCGCCAGCAACTGGGCAAATCCCCCGGTATACGCGCACGCCAACTGCCAGTCTCGTCCCAAAAGCAACAATGCAGAATCACAGCAGCAGCACGCAGTTTCCAGCTCCCATCAGACAACCACAGGTTTTAATATCTCTATATACTATCTCGAGCTCGACAACCTGCTGGCCAAATTCGGGCCAGTCTTCGCTGCTTTGGTCTTGATAACAGCCGAGTCTTGGACATCCAATATAGACCTCAATCCATCTGTTCTATCACGTCTCTTAGCCAGTCGCCTATATGCTCAATTCATCTGACCGAAATTGAAATATGGCCTTGCCGTTATCCCTTTCAGCAAGAAACAGCTATACAATCTAGAGAAAGTGCAAAACACATGCATCCGTACGATCTATGGTGCCCACCCCACATCAGAAACGAAGATAATACGCCACATCGCTCAGCTACCAAGCATGTTAGAACGCATAGCTATACTACAAGCCAAATTTCTCCTTCGAGCATTCCAAACTTCCAGATGATGCACTCTTCTTATCCATTCCACAACCAGTACTTGACGCACAAGTAACCAGCTACCGGAGTAAACTGAAAAAAAAAACACCTGTCATCTAACAATCTGCAACCCCACTCTCAGGTATACAGTATACGACTTTTAAGAACATTATCCGTCAGTATATAAACGATATGCTCAGTATCACCCGCTCATCTCCTACTGGATTAAAGCTTCTGTGATGCTGTCGCCCCAGTCTTAGTGTTGACCCACTTTTATGGCTCCCAATTACAAAGAAGCCGTTGTATTTGATGGAGCCTTGGATGGTTACCAAACCATACAGTCGCCAGAAAAAATACACAAGATGTCACCAAACAAATCTCACGAAACAACACGCAATACACTGTCTCAATCTCAACATACATCATTGTCTCAATCTACAACTTCTTTTTTGTATGAGAGGTAAATTGCCTCTGAAATTTTTTTTAAGTACAAGTCACATGTTCAAAAGAAGTAATGTTCCTTTGGCCTCAAAAACTGATGAGCGAATAGAAACATACATCGTATAAAATATACAAGAAGGGGGTTTAGTGTAGATTTTTTAAAGGTCCATATAAGTCTGTATCGCATGTATGGCATCTGCGGATACATGTGAAGAGGAAAAAGGGAAGTTGTTGAAAATATGGTTCCAGTGTGCGCGCCATATCTGGAGCAAGATATATGATAGAAAACCAAGTAGGTGCTTGGCAGTAAAGTGGTGATAGGGGTTCTTGCATGTGGTGATGAAAGAGAGGGTAGATTCTAGATTCGGATCAGTTTGCATAAAATACTGCCAAATATTTATCCAACCCGCTCGTTTGGCAGGGCATTGAATCAAAAAAATGGTCGGGGGTGTCTTCCTCCTGGTGGCAGATTGAACAGAGGTGCCTCGGTAAGAAATTGGTAGTGTGTTGATAGAGTAAGCTCGCTGTGGGCAGAGTCCCATGAAAAATTCAGTAGAAGATGTTCCTGGTGGTGTGCTCCATAGGTGTTTGCCAGAAGAGTTGCCAGTTTACTGAAGAGCAAGGTGGCGTTGGGTGGAGACGAGTGATAATTACGGTACAATACTGTTTTGGTGTCGTTATCAGTGACTCCAGGCATGTTGAGCAGTTGACGACTGATTGGTGTGAAATCAATTTCACCAAGTGTTGCTGGATGGCCACCACCTAGATGTTGTGGTAGGAGGCATAGACAGGCAAAGAAAGGTTTGAGCATGAAGCGAAAGGCAGCAAGGTCATTTGTAAATCGAGTGAGTAGGATCAGCCTTATTGCTGGGTTATTTTTATTTTGTAGTACTAGATGTTGTTTTGTGGCGTCGTAATAGAACAAATCTTGGACTTGCATTTTGTTATATCTAGGTCGACATTGTTGGAGCATGGTGGGAATAGTCACAATAACACTTTTCAAAGGTAATTGTAATGCTGTGGCGATCGTGATCTACAGTTCCTCTAAATTCATAACCAGCTTGTCCACAGCATAGTAAACCAGGGATATAGGAGAGGAAGAATCGAAGGCGCCTATTTTTCTTGCCTCCCAACAGCAACCGATGATCCGATGGAAATTTGGTCTCAATCTACAACTACACCATCAGGACTCTATATCCTATATTTTTAACCACCTACCCAAATCAAAATGGCGCAACATACACTATATAACTGGTATTTGGCCTACAGTCTGCCAAATTCTCACCGAACTCGATGCACTGCAATACCCTAATAGAGGGATAACTAATAAATATTGATAAATCTATTATACTATATTTAATAAAGTGATGGAATTTTAAAATCAAAATGAAATTTCTATTTTTAAATATTCTTAGGAGTAAATATATAATGAAAATAATAAAAATTAATAAAAGAATTTTTTTATATTTTCTAAAAGTAATAAATTTAATACATATTTATAATTTTAATAAAGATTAAATAAAAGAAATCATACAGAAAAGGATTTAAATGATTGAAAATCATCTAGTAGATATATGATTTAAAAGATAAATATAAAATAAAGATAAAGATTAAAAAGTATACAAGTCTTGAATTATACATGCTTTTTGATGTTGGTTTAAAGAAAAAGCAACTAGTTAGAAATCTCTATAGAAAAATTCTCAATTTTTTGTCTTGGCAGATTTATAACAGGGTAATAGATTTTCTATCATCAACCATTTAAAGTTTTATATTATTATTATTGATTATTCTTCATAGCAACCTAAAACAATCCACTGACCCTTCACCTAGATAAGCTTTGGTTGATTGCTCCTTCTCCTCCTGCAATAGAGTAGGTAACTAGTATTTGTCTCTTTTCCTTCTCCCATTTACTATATCACTGTAATTTTTTTTACCTACTACTAAATATATTCTGTTTTCATTTTTTTTCTCTTTTATTATTATTCTTTTGTTCTTCCCTAAAAGTGCCAACTACAAATATCTTCTCCTTCAACCTCTGGATCAGAAGCTACTTACATCCCCCTCCCTATGTGCTTTTCCCTGTTTTCTACTACAAGGTTTTCAATTCCCAGTACTCCCCCTACCTGTCTCGAGCAAAAATGTACCCCAAAGACGCAGTGTTCACAAGAGACGTAACATTAAAGTTAAAATTTTAAACGTATAACTTATTAAGGATTCTGAGCCCTAACTTTGTGGGTAGAATTGACATGAGATGGGGGGAACAAATAAGGGGAGCAGGAGAGAAGACTTTGTAGGTAGTTATCAGCTACTTAATGATTTTATGGGGACTCATCATGTACTGTGCGCCAATGCATAGCCCATACAGTCTGCATCATAATCCCAAGCACTTCTAGGCAGTGTTGGCATTTCCGATGGCCCCTTTTTCTGACAGTGTTGGAAATGGGTCATAAATGATTACCGACGTTGGTAATGTCGGAAATTTATAAGGGTGATTTTCGAACTATGAATAAAGAGTAATTTTATATTTTAGGACACACATTGACGTTAAATAAGTAATGTTATTTGTATGATATCTGTATAGAAATCGTTAAAAACAGTCAGCAGTTCATGCATAGTGTATCTTGGCTGCAGCCTATATTGACCACAGCATGAAGTCCATATACTATATCGATAATCTCTCAAACATGGATCACAATTGAGTCAGCTTCGTTTCAATCTAGTTTATCTGAGTTGAGTGCATTGTACCTATCAAAGAGCGGATACCAATCCCAGCACTGACAAAGGTGAGACTTCGCCAAACAAGGAACACACTGATCAAGGCATAATGACTCTTTACAATCAGATGACAACGTCCATTATCTTGACCGCAAAACTCAACCTTCCCATCCTTCTTCATCTTCGCAACATCCGAAATCCTGCATGTCCGCGATCAGGTGTGCGAACTTTTACGTACTTCCATTTTCGGCGATTGCAGGAAAAGCAGTCGCTCTGGCAGGAAAACTGGTCTCTTTTTTCTGAGTGCGTTCCTTGACTACTTACACTCACTAGTCATACAAACTCACTGACACCAATTTTTACGTACATCAACCTTTACGTACCATGTCCTACAACATGAAATCTGAATTTACAAAATGGATCGACGGCGATGAGATTGAGCAGGTCACGTTAATTCATAAAACGGACCAAACTTATGCGCGACCCACTGACATCGGCTGGCAGCTACATCAGCAAAATCAAAAGAAAACTGAAAGCGGTGTTAGCATCACGAAGGTTTGTCTCGGTGCCGTGCAATGTGTAAAAGACGATTGTGTACGAAAGAACCTTCCGGTCAAGCCAGCCAGCACCAAAGCACTTATCAAGCTGCAGAAGTGTGTCAAGTGCGATACGGAGTTGCGACATATTCCCTGTAAGGTTCGTGTGCACTTCAAGGTCGTTGGCAGTGTGGGCAGTGTCGAACATTGTGGTGTGCATTCGCACAGTCGATATGAAGCCGTTCATATCAGTAAGAGCTCCTTCGCCAAACTTGCCGAGAGAGTTTTGCGATCCCCGCAGGAAAGACCCATGGCTCTTGTTATAGGCACCAGCTCTCAAAGACCAATGAACCCACCACAACCTCTGCGCGAGATCGACAGCGACTTACAGCATGCTGGTAAAGTTGCGTATCACCGCCGCAACATCCTTGCAGCCAATGGCTTCAACGCTAAAGGTATACCCAGCATCGAAACAGTAACTGCTTCAGTAATGAAGCTCAATGTCGAGTATCCTGGTTATCTTCGTTTACCACTCGACCTCCATCCTGACAGTTTTTGCATTCCTTTCGCTTCGCCGTACATTCTGGACGACGTTGACTACAGCCGCCAACCAATTCTAATGGATGTCATTTACTCCTGCTTTGGCGACGGCTATTACCTCTGCAACTCTGTCATATATCAAGAAAAACTGGAAAAGTATGTTCCAGTTTTCCAAGCGGTTCTTGGTGGCTTAACCACTAAAAACTTCGTTTCGTTCTTCACGACAATGTTCAAAGTTTTGAATGTAAAGAAAAACGACGACGGTGAACCATCTATGTGCGGGATAATGATGGACTTTTCCCAAGCGCAAAGAACCGGCTTTTTTATCGCGTTCAGCAACATTTTTCCCAGTGCCAAAAGTGGGGAGACTTACTTAAAGGGTTGCTATTTTCACTGGAAACAGTCGGTTGAACGTATACAAAAAATAGGTGATGTTGTACCAGTGGAACGCCGAAAGATATTCTTGGAATACACCAGGGTCATGTATGAGACGACGGTGGAACAGATGTTTGATGTTGTAACCGCTCAAATGGAGAAAGAATTCCCGCATACTTCAAAATGGCTAAACTGGTGGCTTC